AGAAGTGTCCTACAAGACTGTCCCACAACAGTATCCCGTAAGAATTCACGAGAAGAGTGTCCTACAAGAGTGTCCCGCAAGAGTGTCCCGCAAGATTGTCCCACAAGAGTCCCACAAGAGTGCCCTACCAGAGTGTCCCACGAGAGTGTCCCACGAGAGTGTCCTACAAGAGTGTCCTGCAAGAGTGCCCCACAAGAGTTTTCCGCAAGAGTGCCCCACTAAAATTTCCGACAAGAGTGTCCTACAAGAGTGCCCCACAAGAGTGTCCCACAAGAGTGTCCTACAAGAGTGGCAAGAGTGTCCCACAAGAGTGATCTATGCGAGTCTCCCGCAAGAGTGTCCTACAAGAGTGTACCACGAGAGTGTTCCACAAGAGTGTCCGACAAGAGTGTTGGATAAAAGTGTCGTACAAGGGTGCCCCACAAGAGTGTCCGACAAGAGTGAGTGTCATACAAGGTGTCCCACAAGAGTGCGCAAGACTGTCCAGCAAAGGTTTCTGAAAAGAATGCGTCCTACAAGAGTGCCCCACAAGAGTGTTTCCTACAAGAGTGTCAAACATTGTTTGGGTGTTTGTTTTCGAGCACGTGTTTGCATTCGGGTTCGTGGCTTCCATCTTGTGCTTTTTTGTTTCTTTTGTTTGTGATGGAGGTAACACAAAGCTTCCGCAACTGCTCGCGCCAACCTTCCGCCATGTGAAAGGAAGCTTCCGCGCGCCACTTTTTAGGGGAGGCATCCGCTGAGCATACGCCGCATTAGTTACATACTGAGTGTTTATTTCAGGTTTGCTTCCACGCGCAGGGTCTTGGTGCAATGATGACAACGATAATTATAGTAGGAGCTAGATTTCTTGGAGTTGTCACTTCTAAGGTATCTCCTGGTGGCTATATCTGGCTAAGAATAGGTAACCACACATTGGGAATTGGGAACTCCCGCGAGCCTTCCACACGGCTTCTGCGAAATCGGCAGCTGTTTTTGCAAGTTTTATATAGTTGCAAAAATCGTATTATGCCCTTGCGCGCAAAAGGGTCATCTGCACAGCTTTGGCAGCTTCTGCAACTGCAAAGTGGTGGCAAACTAGACGACGGGTGGCCCGAGAGCGAGACATGTGATTGTCCAGCACTGTGGAAAAGATATCTAGAAAGAGAGTTAAAGAAAGGATGGACGTGAAGGAGTGACAGTGTGGATGTGCAGGTGCGATACAGATGTGTAGATGTATGGAGGTGGAGAGGTAGATCTGTGGTTGCGAGCCTGTGAAGATGTAAATGGACAGAGGCGAGAGAAAAGATATGTCTTAGGTTCGTAAGAAGTCAGTCGCACTTCAAACGGTTCAAAACAAGTCAGTCTCATTTCAAGACAAAAACGAAATAAACCGTAAGCAGGTCGAAGCACACACAAAATGGATTTGTGTGCGCTTCATCCTGGTCCCAAAAACAAGCGGCGAGCAGATATCCTGCGAGCAGAGGCTCAAAGCAAATCAGTCTGACTTCAAGTATCAGACAAACAGAAAGTGCGCAGTAAGTGCGCTTCAATTCATCAGCTCCACTCTCGCGGACAGGCCCTTGAAAGCACCAACACTGCGACCTGAGAGCAAACGACGTTACGATCAGGACAAGTGACTCGTGCGTTCCAACTGCGCATCGTTTGTCATGCAAGTGAAGTAGACACATATTAACGTCACGTCCCTTTTTGCGGCAGCCGCGGATCCCGTCGTTTGAGCGATGATGTCGTAGTTTCATGTAGTTTCGTCCCGAACAGTCTCGACGGACGACCCGCGACGTGAACTAGTCTCGGTGTGTTGTGCTGAAGTCTCTCTGCCATTCCGCGCGCAACCCTTCCAGGTCTTTTTTGAAGCAGCAACTGCGCGGCTTCCAATGCGGAGTGCTCGTAAGCGACGACGAGCCAAGCGCATAAAATCCCCGCGCTCCGATTGATGCCACCAAAGCAGTGAAAGAGCACGTGCGTGGATTTGTCCCCGGCCACCGCCAGCCTGGACTGTTCCCACAACTGGTTGCAGACGATTTCCCACTGTCAAACAGGAAGCCACCAAGTCCGGAATCTGCTCAAGCCAACGCCTTGCCGGCTTCAACGTCGTGTCCTCCAAGTGACACTGGATGTGAAAGACATCTTCAATTGCTCCACAGAACACCGTGAAAGAACCCCTCGAATGCGAGACAGGTGATTTTCGAGCAATTCCGAGTAAGCCGATAGTTCAAATTGACGTCCCAGAGCCATGATCTCTGGGTGCAATTTAAATTATTCACAAAAAAGACGTGTACAAAGAAAGAAGGAGAGGGCGGATGTGAAGGAGTGACTATGTGGATGCGCAGGTGTGATATAGCTACGCCGATGTGTGGGTGTGTGGGGGTAGAGAGGTAGATCATGGTAGATCTGCGGCGTTTCGTACGAGAATTCCTCCACAAATGAAGCACCAAGTCTCCAAAACCACCGTTTCCTACGAGATTTATCCCCGTCTACATTAGGGGGGAGGGGTTGACAACCGCAGTTTTGTAAGGGACCTAGGGTTACAGTCTACAAAAAGCCCTGACCCAAGGGCATTGGGCTTATACAAAATGGCATGGGCCAGAGTGGGCTTGTACAAAAAGGTTATGCCTGAAGATCACTATCTTATGCTGAAAAGTGCATAAAACAGCCATTCAGCAAAGTGATTTCTCTACAAAATGGTATCAAATACCTGGTCGAGGACATGATTTAAGACTCCATTTGTTGACCATTCCGGAACCATTCTGTAGAGAAACTGTGTGCGCACGCATCTGACTGTTCTTTTTTTAATCCAAACTTGGCGATTGTACTGTGCAATGGCATATGTTGAACATCGGACTCTAATAGACGATGTCAGAAACTATATGATTTTTTGTTTTGTTTAATGAACTTGCGGTGCTAACGGAAAGTATATTAAACAGTGCTTACATCTAAAAATCTTGCTTACAGTACAAAATGGGGATGACCCTGAACTATCTCTACAAAATGTGAACCTCAGGTATTTGGAGACTAATTCACATTATCCATTCTAAACTTGACCTTTGCTGTCCTGTGAAATAGTGTGAAATGCATTCAAATGCCAATATGATTCTTTGTTCATGCCGACTTTGTGTGACATGCCAATATGATTCTCTGTTCATGCCCACTTTGTAAAAACAAACATTGGTGACAGTCATTGTGTAAACAAATCTTTGGTCCATCCTCATTTTATGAATCGTGGCTGAGTTTCTCAATGCTCTTTGGTCAGCGGAAGGAAGAGTTTGCACCACGTGTACTGGGACGAGTCCATTGGATGCAGAGTGGATTTGTTTTATGTACACCGGGTACGCCGCTGAAAAAGTTGTTGGCGCAACTCAGGGGGTAACCGGCATAGCCATAGATGGCTCAACACCACATACTGAACATTAAACATCACGAAAACTAAGGCTGCACCTTGACCAAACCAAGCGTTTTTGTAGATTCTATAGATGGCGCATCCCAAAGCTCTTTTTCCCATCCTAAAAAATGAACGCGGCAAACAAACACAAGGACTGCTCAGGAATCTGGACATTGAAGGATCAGTTTTCACCTCGGAGTATGTATTTGTATCTGACTCAGGCGACTAAAGAATCTGACTCCAAGAAACGAACACTCAAACGTGTACAAAAAGGGTACCCTGACCCCCTGTTTTTCCTTGATTTTGGCCCTGTACAAAAAGGGTACCCTGACGTCCTCATGTCTCATATAAATGTTCTCTAATTTTTTTTGATCATAACTTGGATGCCGATTTTGACTCTACAAAATGGGAGGGTGTAAGTTTCGGCATCTGCCAAAAAGTGCTTTGTTACAAAATGACCCCTTTGTAAGGGCCTCGAGCTACCCCTATCTGTAGAGGAAATGCGTACGGGGATCGAGATTTCCTCCAAAAGTGAAGCGCCAAGTCTCCAAAACGAGCGTTGCGTATGAGACTTCCTCTAAGAGTGGAGTGCGACCAATCCAAAACGCACTTTCATCTGCATTTCCCGCACTCGACACGCACGATCTCCGCAGAGGGTTGCGCCGGACCGGGCCAAAACGCACTCTCGCCTGCACTTCGCGCGCTCGATACGCACGATCCCCGCAGAGAGTTGCCCGCGACCGCGACACATCGCACTCTCGCCTGCATTTCGCGCAGTCGACACGCACGATCCCCGCAGAGAGTTGTCCCGGACCGGGACAAATCGCACTCTCGCCTGCATTTCGCGCGCTCGACGCGCACGATTCCCGCAGAGGGTTGCCCGCGACAAAGCAAAGTCGCACTCTCGCCTGCATTTCGCGCACTCCACACGAACGATCTCCGCAGAGGGTTGCCCGCGATCGGCACACATCGCACTCTCGCCTGCGTTTCGCACCCTCGACACGCCCGATCTCCGCAGATGGTTGCGCCGGACAAAGCCAAATCGCAGTCTTGCCTGCATTTCGCGTCCTCGACACGCACGATCTCCGCAGAGGGTTGCGCCGGACAAAGCCAAATCGCAGTCTCGCCTGCATTTCGCGTCCTCGACAAGCACGATCTCCGCAGAGGGTTGCGTGGTGCTCCGGTGGTACTGCCCCCGGCCTTAAGAGAGAAAGTTAAGAAGAGCGAGAGGTGAAGATGTGAGATGTAGATGACAGGTAAAGATGTGAGATGTTGATGCAGATGTGAGGATGTGAAGATGAGCAGAGATGTAGATGTGCAGGTGTGAATGTAGATGTGAAGATGAGCAGAGATACAGGTGAGAATGTGGATGCGCAGAGGTGAAGATGTGAAGATGTAGATGAGACGTAGTTCTGCAGATGTTTTTTTACGAAGAACCCTTCGCAGACGCTCTCGGGAAAAAGAATGTTACGTCCAAACGTAGACTGCGAAAGATTGATGAACTAACAACAAGGAACTCAGTTACCTCCGAAATGAACATGTAAGTGGGGAAATAGAATGACATTCAGGACACACACACACAGAATGAAACAAACAGCTGCAGTTGAATGTTTGATTTATAGCACTTAGGATCACCACAAGTAGTAGTCTACTCAGAGTTCCTTTGCCGGGCAGCTGGCAACTTCTCCAAGAGCGTGTTGCAGGTGGCATAGACTGTCTCCCCAATATCACCACCAGCTGCAGAACCACCTGCAGCATGGTCGGGCCTCTTGAGTGCGACACTTAAATCATAAATCATGTGGTCTGCTGATTTCTGGTTCAGTACCAATTAAGCTCGGGTTTCCAACATGCATGCATCAACGCGAAGAAGCCTTCTTCATTCTAACTCAACTTGGACTTACAAAGGGCTTCCTGCATGGTTGACAAACCAGCTATAGTTTATACCATTCAAAGGACACCCCATCTTACCTCAGTAGACCGATAGAAAGCTCTGCTGCTCTTTCTGGAGTCCCTTCCACCCTTCCACCTCCACCACGTACTTCGATCATTGTCTGCATCAAAATGTCCGTGTCAGCAAGGGATGATGAAATTTCAGCATTTGTATGCTGCCCGAACGCCTGACAAGGGTGGGCAGTGGGGACACAATGTTACTTATGCTACCTTTTGATGCATACATATATCCTTCCATTCGACATCATTCGGCTCTTTGTAGAATCACAACGCAACTAGCACAGTTTGAATTAGTTTCTATCAAGGTTGAGCCATAGACAAAAACAACCAGTAGCGTCCTTGCTACTAGTAGCGATGCCCCTGCTACCAGTAGCGATGCAGTGGTTACTAGTAGGGGAGCGGGCTAAAAGAAAGGAAATCTTGTTACTAGTAGTAATGCACTTGTTACTAGTAGCGATGCACTTGTTACTAGGTCCAGTTTCTGCGAGTCACTGACTTGACTTGAACAGCGAAGGAAAGCATACTTTGCATTTTTGAAGCCTCGGGGGGCTCGCTCAAAGGCAGGGACTGGACGTATTGTCGATAGCTGTGAAGGCTGCCGTCCTGGATTGACGGCCACGAGTTCGAGAAAACCGTTGGAGGATATGGACCTTCTGTGGGGCTTCACAACTTTTGCCCGAAAGGCTTACCCAGGCTTACCGAGCTTCAAATTTTGCCCAAAGTGAAATCTCAGCCTTTTGGTTGTTGAGTGTGACAATTGGCATCGGCATTCACTCGATCGGATGCATCTCTGCTCCTCCGGAATGTAGTAGGTGTTCAGAGTTGACAGCTGGAATTTGGGTTGCAATGCCGCAGTGCAGAAGAACTCGTTGACATAAGACCTGGCAGGAACGTGATTCATTCATTTCACAATCATTGGGACCTACATATGCTGTCCCAGATGGCCTCAACACACGGTTGTCGGGATGCTCAGTGACGCGTCCACCATAGTTGGCCTCCAAACTGCAATTTCACCACTGGAAACATGAACGTGTTTTTGTCAGTCTGCATTCAGATTGACTGGATACCCACGGGGCAAAAGGCATATTTAGCCAGGAGCAAGTTGCTTGGTGTCAGTCAATAAGTCACTAGGCGGCATGGATATACAATAGCCGGGCGGAAGAAGACCACCTGCCTCGGCGATGAGATAGCGAATAGCATCCCACGGAATTTCAGTAGGGTTCTCGTCCAAATACATTGCCAGGATGTTCTCACCTCAACTCAAGGTAAGCTAAGGCATGATTGACCCGAAGCAGAGTCTTTGGCACTGTCAAATGAGGCCGCGACAGATGTCAAAGTCAGAATCGTTAAAGTCATAGCCGATGTTCCAGCCCAGCATCTTGAACTTCTTCCGCTCCAAAAGCACTGCATGGAACCAGCACAAGGAAAAGAATAACCGCCGATACTTCTGAGTCTCCTTCACGCGGTTGTAGGAATCCTGGAAGCGAGCAAATGGCAAGGAGCAAAGGGGTGGTGCAATGCATCTCATTCCACCTTTATCGAGCAGGCTACTAGTACTAAACACGTGTCCATTTGCTCAATCTTTTTTCCCTGATCGCGCAAGCCACTCTCGCAGCCATTTGCGCGTCTGCTTGTCAAGCTTCAAGATCAGCTGGTCCATCGGGCTTTCGGCGGAAAGGCTCTGCATCCTTGGGGTTCCCGCTGAAAGGAACGATATCATCTGGAGGTTCACCCAAATGTGTCAGAGCCACCGTGCAACCTGGATGGTTTGAGCAAAAACTAATGCAGGGATAGATGGGCTCTTCTTCGTGAAACACATTTTCTGTTCCACGACATGGTCCTGTTGATCGTCTATTGAGCACAAACTCCAGTGGAACACCAGGTGTTCTCAAGTCCACCAGAACTCCAACAGAATCTCCAGCGGCCATGGGCACAGAAATCTCCAGCTGTCCGGCATGAAATCTTTTCCCTCCTTGGTAAGCATCTCCATCATCAAACCAGAATGACCAGGATTCAGCATCCTGGCCCAAATAATTTCGGGGAGTTTTCCGACATAAGCCCATCCGCAGGCTCACAGGCCGGTCAGTGCCATTACCATTGTCCAACATCTTCACTTCAAAAAAGTGGCATTCACCAAGTTTCAACTCAGGTCCACAAGCTGCTGGGTAGCTAAACTCCTTCCGAAGCAGCCTCAACAGCCGGCCCTCCCCTTCAATCGAAATACTTTCAGGGGCCGTTGCATTCTTGAAGGTCATTGGACCAATGACACCTGTGATGGAGCTACCGCTTGTGAGGTCCAGCGACAGCAATGTTTGATCCCCATCCAAGGCAACACCAGCGAAGATCAAGGCATTCAAGCTGCCCCTAAGGGGCAGCAGCTGAAAGGCCTTGTATGCCTCCTTCTTGAATTCAGAACATGTCCAATTTGGGTTCGCGTCCAGCTCAAAAAGCAGCTCTCCATTGATCGAACGCACCTCTATCGCTAGACAATCGCTTTCCATCGGACAAAAGGCAACTGTGTACTTGAGCCTTTGGGGGCAACCAGGATGCATTGTAGTCCTTCCAATGAATTTTGGCTATCTGTGTCACCTTTGCAATGCACAAACCTCAATCTGCCCGCTCCTCGGAGGTGTTTTGGAGCAACCGCACCAAATTGGCCTTGAGACCCTTTGGCGGCTCTGTTGTCATCTTGATGCAATTTTGAAGAAGTTGGATGGGGAACCTGAGCAAACAGCTTGGGCATGTGAGCATGCATCGCTTGCCGTCCCTTGCAACGACAATACTTCCGATGCTCTGGGAGGAGTTGTCGGATTCAAGTCCTGTCTGGTACGAGTACGATCTTTGCCGGGAATAACATGTTCACCAACTTTCACGTCTCCCCCAACTTTGTAACCTACTTGTATCACACGGTTCTCACACCAGCTCAAGCCATAAAATGAGGGTACATACGACATAAATTATGTATATAGACTTGACACAGAACACAAAGAATGGATTTCGGATTTATCGCATGTTGCTTGTCTTGCCGTGCCACTTTGCACGTGCATGGAACCCTGGCTCTACCCTGCGTTTGAAAACACTTGACACTTGGTCCTTTTTGTGCCTTCTGGAAGAGAACAATAACACAACTTGCAGCTCCCTTCTTGCGACAGGCACTTGGGTGTTGGCGAGGAGGACATGAAGATCCGGAACTTCTCATGGGGGCCTTGGTCAAAGGTCCTCTCGATCAGCTTCTCCAGGGCTGGCAGCCAGTGGACACACAAATGACCTCCGTTCGGAGAAGCTGTCCGAAATACTCTTTTGACGCATGGGGCAGTAAGGCACGACGGCCATCAGCTTAGATGGAGTGACGCACGGTAGGGTTACACACAAGCAAGATCGAACAGGCGAACAGGACAGCTCAACCGTTGTTCAACTTTCATAGAAATTGTGGTCTAAATTCTCTTGGTGCTTCTCCTTCAACACCACGCCACAGTGCTGCCAAGACACAATTGGCCAGAAGGACCCAGAAACCCTTCTCCGCGCCATCTTTCCTTGCATTTTGGAAGTTTCATTATACTATTATATTTATGATTCCCATGTGGCAGAAGGACTTGTTCACAATGACTCCTGGAAATGCATGTTGAAAACATGTGCTCTTCAATAACCTCTAAAAATTCATGTGCTATAGATCAATGAAGCTGTACAGTACAGCTTCGTGCATGGTGTTTTAGTTTTGACGTCATTCTCCACTCTTACTGCACCTTGACATTGCTGTTCAGCCGAATGAAAGGGGAGCTGGGCTACCAGCAGCTATCAGCTAACCCAATCAAATTCTCAGCAGGTGGCATCATCTTCTCTGCTTTCCTCGGTCGGAAGGCTTGAGCTTCAAAAACATTCTTTTTGCAGGAATCCCCTGTCAAAACATGGGAAACACCGCATAGAAACTTGGCCAAACTTGCCGTCTTCTTGTCTTCTGCAACATATTCGCTTGGACCCTGTCGGCAATCATTTGGACAACATCTTCGGCATGTCATGCTATCAAACAACATGATGACATGGCTTCTGTGTGACAACGGTGGGTCGGGAAGTGCAGTCAATTAACATGCTGTCAATCATCCTGAAGTTGGCATCATGAATCATGCTGCCATTTTATCGGCTCGGATTCAGCCGGCTGGCAATCAGCTTCTTTTTAAAGAACAACTCCACCATTCTTGGTTGTTCCCGACAAAGGCAGTGGCAAAAGCGGTGCCGCAAAGGGCAGGGTAAGTTTCTTGTTTTCACGACCCCAATTTCGCCAGGCCGGGTGCAAGCCAGTCGAATGCCTGAACAACAGCTGCAAACAAGTCTTGCTGATTACCCGGGGAAGGGTTGGAGGAAGGGGGTGGAAGGCCTCAGATGTAATCGGATGTAATGAAATGGAAGGAAGGCAGGAAGGGGAGCAGGGGAAGGGAAGAACAAAAACACCTGAAAGCCTGAAAGTCAGGAAGAACCAGCGTGCAGGTCCTGGCCAGGTCCTGGCTGTACCACATACTAAACGAAAAGGCTTTGACAACAGGTGTCCCGAAAAGGCTGTTTTTGCACAATGTCAAGAAGCTTTCCGGACACCTTCAAAACATCCATCTAGGCGAAAAGAGTTGCTGATGCAAACGATGCCGCTACAATAACATTACAACTTGCATTTTCTGAAATGGCCTCAACCTGGACCAACACAACACAACTTAATTTTAATCCACATCAAATTGGTACAATCTGCCCCACGCCAAATAAGTCACTTCGTTCGCAGAAGCTAGCTTCAGCCCAGCCTACCGGCTAGCTTTCGTCAAAAAAGAACAACACATGTGAAAGTTAAGTCTCCCCAAATATCTAGAAACTCTTAGCCCTTCTGCGTCCCTGTCGCCTAGTTGGTAGTCTCTTGTTAGCTACTAGTAGCGTACCCATCAGCTTCTCTTCTTACGTCTTCTTACGGCCTACACCCTAAAAATCTAGGAACCAAATCATTAGTGACTATTAGTGTAAGCTTCCTTGAAGAAGCGTGAGCTATCCTGCGTCCCAAGTAGTAGTTACTTAAGCTACTAGCTACCCCTAGCTACTACCTCTACGGCCTAGCCCCCCGGGGCTACGCAACAAAATAGATCAAAAAAACATTACCGAAATGTGCCTCCACGGATCGGCTCTTGTCCTTGTCCCAGCGAGATGGTTTGCCAGGCCACATTCCTTGAAACGGCCAAAGCCCTCAATTGGCCTGTGGGATCCATGCCAGGCGTCAGCACGAACCTTGGCGTCAATCTGGTGCCAGCTGATACACTTCAGAAACAAGGTCCAGTCATGCATTGATCAAACAAATCCGCAGTTCTCTGAATGCAATATTACAGTATCTTCTGATTCTTTATGTGTATCTTTAGAGCTTGCCAAGTGGCAGGAGCGGGGTCAAGCAGGAGGTTTCGTCCTTAGACATGCGTACAGTAGGGTGGTGAGTCATCAAAGTGTTGAGTGGTGCTGGCTTCCACCAGCGTTCCTGTACCAGTTGTTCTGAGGATTAGCAAGATTCAGCAAATAGAAGCTCAGTCAGGGGCAGCCACTAGGCGCAGCCAGGCAGCATAAATGGCTTCCAAATCCAACGGGGGAGGCTCCACGAACTTTGAATCGAGTTTCAGTGCCTCAAACGTTTGGGGGCAAGCGGACAGGCTGAGCTTGGCTGTGCTGCAAACAGGGGACGATCATAACCCAGTGAAAACGGTTCAGGTTTGGTTCATCCCGTCTCGGTAATGTTAAGTTTCCCTAAAGCTGCCCTTGCAGGTAGTGCTACCTCTTCTAGTAGCTACCTCTAGCTGCTAGCTACTACCTCTACGGCATACCCCTCCCCTGGGGCAAAAAAAACAAACAAAACATAAGGTGAACATGATATATAGCGCAGGATGGCGGTCCAGGTGGATTTTGCCAAGGTACTACAAAGACCTGCACTGCAGGTAGGACACGATCCGGTCTGATGCAACGAACTACGATGAGCTTCCTTGTCTGGAATTCGTGAAGCAGTGCAATCTGACAGTGACATGAACCCTCTGCAAGTCCATCTAGTCTGAATCCAATGAGCTTCCAACGTCTCAATTACAATTCCTTTTTATGCCATCCCGAAATAAGTTTCACTTTTCCTTGTTCCATCCTAACTTTGACTCAAGTACATTTAAGTCTCCCAAGAGTCTAGAAACCAAATCATTAAGCCTGATCCATTCTGCGTCCAAGCTTAAGAAGCTATTACTTGCCCCTTGCTGCTACTTACTTAAGCCTCCTCACGGCCCACCCCTGGCTTTAAAATAGGAAAATAATCAAACACAACAAAACAAACAAATACCTTCGAGGTTCTGCAGCGGATCCAAACGCTCGTGCCACTCTCCAGGCAGGTTGTCCTTTTCTGGCTCAGAGCCGCTGTACCATTTCCTCGCCATCGATTTGATGAATGTTGCTTTGATATGCTTTGATCATTTTTGCATGAACAGCAAGCAAATGCAAGCAGAAAGTATAGTCCGGCAGTTGTGTGCAAATCGCCAACTTACATACTCATTGAAAGGCTCTTTTGTCTGACAATACAAAATGACGGTGTACATCTTGGTAGGTTCCTAAAAACAAACGACTGTCCACCTGTAATTTCAATTCCAAAGCAACTGTATGCTTTGTTCGAAGGTGGCTGGTTCTGGTGTAACTGCAAAATTGGAATAAACCATGGCGATTGATCCCATGCAATCACGCAATGCCTCTTCCTACATTCTTTCCGCTGGCAACTCAAATCCCGTCAAACTCACAGGTTGTCACTATATAAATATTGTCATCAAACATAGCCATAGCACTGATCAGTGCAGTCATGCCAACTCCAGTGAAATGGAGCTTCTGGACCACTTCTGGAGCTTTGAAAAAGGTGGACCTCTATAAGTGGCACTTGAGTTCTTTGAGATCCTTAGAGCCACCCTGGGTCACCCCCCAAGGCCCCAGATCTTTTCCGGAAGTTGTGACTCATTTGCCTGACAAAATCAAGAGAATAGACTTGCTTTCTCTTGACAAGGAATTTTTGATCTGACCTGGATCAATTTAGGGATTCAGGTCTTCATACAAAATCAGCTCAAAACAAAACACGCTTTCTCAAACGTCGACGTACCTTAGTTCCCCAACTCTGCAGGTCAGTCAGGCATCTTCCAGTCCCGCAAGGACTGCTCCAGTGAGGTCTGGAAACCTGACCAAAGCAGCTCGTGACGATTGGCATGGTGTTTCAAGTTACAATTTATAAGCCATCATGCGAATCATGAATGTATAATGATGCATACAATCCACTCATACATGATTTTCTTCATTGCTTTCTTCAGCTGTGTTACAGTAGTGGTGCAGCCAGGTCAACCTGTACACTGTATACGTTACGAGCTATGCATACACCGATTGTAATGTGCACGTTTCCCATAAGCACCTACGAACCAAATCAATCAGAGAGTGCGTCCGAGCCTATTGAGATATGTTGCTGGAGCTGCTCAAGGCCAAGGGCATCCGACCACCAACTTATGAAAAGCTTCCACAACCATACAGGAACCCAAGACTATCCGGCACAGTTTTGCTTAGATACAAACCTGTGGTGGCCACCCACAGTCAAGAATATCATCACACAGTGGAACTTCCAAAGTCCCAAAGATATGACAAGTTATATACACATTTATTGCATGATCAACTAATGAAGCATGTTCAACTCTATGGCGGATTCTTGATGCCTTCAGACACATTCATCACACCCACACACCTAGAGAACAAAGAAGGCTCCTCCAAGCCAAAGCTATACTTACATAATATATATATATATGGTGCTTGCGAAGCAACGGCTGATGTATTATGCATGCATAGATCAAACGCCTTGGCACCTCCCGGACACGCACATTTTTAGCATGAATTGGGCTTGCCGGCAGTTGTGAGTGAACAAACCACAAAATGTGCTGTGAACGCCAGAACACAATGAGGGTGGAAGAGCACTCAACAATGTAACAAAGCCCTTATAGTAAATGCATGTAAATGCAACAGGATTGCTCGGACTTAGACGATCGGCTGTGAAATGTCGTATGACAATCAATGCTGTCATGCAAGTCCTCTAGGTCATGCGCACTCCCAGCTACCCAAGATAGGCTGAAGGGTTCCTTTAATGCTCCACTTGCGTAAAGAAGAGCATTTCTGTTATCCCCTTCAAATGTTCTAACCAGAGGTGTTCAGGTTGCTTGCAGTGCAAAGAAGAAACCTGTCATTGGCTTGTCCAAACACAAACTAGGATTTCACTTTGTCCTGCCTTTGAAGGACTCCAACTTAGAGTCAGCCTCGATGATGTTGTCCCACATCGATTGGTTGATCCAATCTGGTGAGGGGTTGGGTGACTGGCCGGATCTATCGAAGACCTGTCCGCCGAAAAGGAAGAATGAGAACTCTGTCTCGTTGAGATCGTTGGAATACTTGAGAACCTCAAACGTTGAGCTCAACAGGTCCATGCAGCACACCATTATTTTCTAGCCAAAAGAAGCGAACGCAAGCAACATCGAATGTGTAGGAATACAGCAAACAAGAATGCCAAAGCCAACACGTTCTCATACCTCTAGAGCAAGTAGCTTGTGCGCAAAGATGCAGCGACAGCAAAAGCTTATGTCGCTCGAAGATTGCGCGGCATCCATACTTGTAGACAGCCAAAGCATGGAAGGCATTCAAGTCCTCAATCCGCTCTTCGACACCTCCGTGCAGGTGACAAACACCCGAGACAACATCAAGACCCCAATAGTAGCTTCTTGTTACTAGTAGTAAGGCCAGGAGCCCCTAGTAGCGTCCTTGCTCCTAGTAGCGATGCCCTTCGCTCCTAGTAGCTTCTTGTTCCTGGTAGCAAACGAATGCCTCTTGTCACTTCTTTCATGCCGGCCATTACCGCACCAGCTCTCTTGCCTCCGACAGAGATCTTCTTTTCCGCGCTCTTTTCAATACTCTGGATGTACAGGATTTCATAGGCTGCCAATGCAAACCTACAAGGCTGGCAATCTGCATACACTACTTCTTCAATCTCAGCTTGCTGCAAGTGGGTGCTCACTCTTTCTTGCCCAGGCACTGGTACATTGGATCAATTGCCACCAAGTCGTTGAGAACGAAATAAAGCACTGCGGACCGCAAACCAGCAGGGCGATAGTTCTCGCGCTGACCATCGATCTTGACCATGTTCCTGAGGCGCAACGATTGATCATCAGTGAAGGGCGCCAAGGCCCTCCTTCTACGGTACAGTCTCCAGACGACATCCTGCCCAGGGTGGCATGCGCACACACACACAAGGTGGAGGCCATCGCTACTAGTTACTAGGTGGAGTACATCGCTACTGGGTGGAGGCCATCGCTATTAGAAAGACAGACAACGAAAAGGAAGACAGGCAACATTTTGGGGCTTAACAAAGGGCTGCGGAGAGCCTCCAAAGCCAGGCCGCTGTTCGGCGTGAGCGACCTGCTCGGTGGTCTGAATGCCTGTCATTCATAGGGACAAACAACATTAACTGTTCTATTAGCACATGAATACCCTTTCATCTATATTTTGTACATGCACGTTGAAGGTCTTTGCATTATGGGATCGTTTAGAGGCATTCAGTCAAATTTCATCCTAGTGGCTGATGACCTTCGACTCCTGGAGAGTATCGATCAGGCTCAGATCATCCAATAGAGAGCCCTGCACCGACTCAAAACTATGCGAAGCAGCTAGTCCGTGGTGATCAAGTGAAAGGCGTGCAAAGATTGCAAATGTAGAGGGTCATATTGAAAGCTCGCACTAGGTCATCTTCCAGCTTTGATCTATTTTGATCTTTACTCACAAAACATGTTCAACTCAGATCAACTCACATCAATTCACAAACAGTGCGGAGTTGATCGACTTGTTAGGCTTGCGTTGGCATGGATTGACCGTTCCAGCCTTTGTCTCTGCCAAAAGTCGCAGGATCTCGTTCTCGAGTTCCACCAAACGGTTGCGGCCTTTGGTTTAGAGCACATTCTTACTGGTGTTTTCAATAAACTACCCCGATCATCCTTGATCAGCAAAGTTTTAAGTTTCTCTGTGTCGGAACCCATCGGAACTCTTCCTTCCTGCTTTCTTTGGGATTCCCTGTCCTGTCTGACCGCAGTTCACGGCCTACTCCCCCGCTCTTTATTCGGTGAAAAGAGAAAATGTCTTGGCTTGCTAAGATCTGCTAAGCGGCCCTTGGCCACTTGGAAGAGCAATTGGTTCTTGTCCTCCTCCAGTCGCTTGTCTTCACAACGAACAATAACGCCCAACAGCTGGTTGGTGAGACCATCCAGCACCACGATGAAGTTCACCTCTAGCAGCTCTATCACAGCAAATCCACAAAAGTGGAGAACATGACTAGCAAGCAGCAAACCTGACACATGACATGACCCTGCTAGGTCTCTCACCATGATGCGGGTAGAATTGTCTGTTTCAGCAGTTCTAGTACTCTGTCCTAGTTCTTCTTTGGTTTTGCTGTCGTTCCCTCAGCTTGCGCGTTTATCACCTTGCTAAGAGAAACCAATGTGATAACGTGCTGAATGACTTTTCCCTCAAAGGCAAGCCAGAAATCAGCGAAGAATACCGTGCACGTTGAGGGATCCACATCTGCTTTCTTCAGAAAGCAAGCAAGCCCCTCTAACCCACACAAACAAATTTAAACAAGCACCGCCCAGTTCAACCTTAATTACATACAGTATATAGTTTGTGACATGTTGTGTGCAAACGAGGAGCGATGGTTGTTTTGGTGGATACCTCAGGCGTGTAGTGCGGGTTGGACAGTTTGGTAGTGATGTAGAACATAAAGGCTGGGTTGTAGTCCAATACGTTGTCTCCAACCTGGGCAGTCTCGCCAGTATCCACGGCCGACTGTACAGCGTGACTAAAATGTTTCCAACATGAAATGAAGTTGCCTTCATGTTATCCCTGATCCCAGCATTCCAGGTCCCTCTCTCTGCAGGCAGATCGGTGCGATATGAAAGTATGAACAAAGAGAAACAACATCTCATCTCGCTCATCCCTCTGCTGCTTTGTCTCGCGACTCTAACTCTAACTACAATGGGTATGCTCCGCGCTCCCTGCCTTAAGGGACAAAGTTCCACCCCCGTTGTCAATGACGTTCTTCGCCAAAATGGGTTCCAAAGATGGGTCCAGCTCCTGACAACGTCCAAATCCAGCGCGAATACAGCTGTTGGCTGGCAGCAAAACACTTCAGTCCGATTCACCCAATCGCAGGATGAGAGAGATTGCGCCAACCCAAATTGGGAAGGCACACGTCTATCTGAATTCTGTGAACCATGCTGAGCCCTCGAAACCGAGAGGTGCCTCACCAACATTCTCCAGCAGGACCGGAGTGCCAAATTCGATAGCACGCTCCAAGGATTTCATGATGTCCTGCGCCACCGTGGCAGTGCCTTCTCAGCAAGTCTTAGGTTCGAGATTCTAAACCAACATTGCTCCCAACAACCATTCAGCCTCTTCATGAAGAAAACAATTGTTTATCTTGCGCCGGGCCGATTGGATAAGGTTTGAGCCCTCCAAAACTTGCGGAGCGCTGAGGAACAGACCCATTTGTATTTGATGAGAACTTATCCTTTTAACTTTCACCCAACCTGCGTTGGACTCTGAGCTGGCTAAAAAGCCCAAAACGACATCTCCCCAATGGACCCTGCACTGTTTAAAAAGGGGTCACTTCGACATCGATTCATCCACATCCACATTTTGACATCGGCATCCTTGGAGTTCGGGTCAAACACCTTGAGCTGACGTGACTCTTCCATCTTCCTCACCCAGGTGTTGGCCTGGCTTCGGTGGTCTTGGGTTTGGAGACTGCCATCGGGGCCCTTGTCGAAACATATTTGATCATATGAGTTGAACAACCACGCCACCGACAAGCTCTATATTATATAACAGACTTTGGCCTGGCTCTGTGGGTCAATCATCAGTGGGAAGCGTCGACTTTTGGTCACCAGCACCTGCAGTGGGAGCAACATCAAAATCAAACAAATTGTTGTCACTTTCGAGGGTGTTTGGGGACTACAGAAAAAAATGCAACCACATCTCTTAAACATCCATGTGAGTGATGATTTTTCTAAACTACAGACTCTTCAAACACCAGATTTTGTCTCTGGTGGACCCCCTATCGCCACTTGCATATTGTCAGGCTGACCTGTTTCAAAGGGCATCGTTTAAAGTAGCAACTTATAAAGTCAAGTTTAGTCTGTTGAATGCGCATGTCTTCTTCATTCGGATCCGAGTTCGTTCTGCAACAGCCGTAAGTTGTTCTTTACATCTCAAACTTGAATTCACTCTGATCTCCTGAATTTCAATTCTTTCGCTCTGTGGAGTGCCTTTGACGGTCTTTGACCATCAGTGCTACACATGCCTTTGAGTGAATGCCATGCTGCCAAAGACAGGTTTTGGTATTATGTTTTATGTCACCTTTCTTGTCAAAGGCACACCATTCTCTGTGCTAAAGTCGTCTGCAGGAAGTTTTTGAAGGTTCCTTGGTGACAAGAACTGTGAGGCTCCACAGGTGGAATGACACAGGCAAGCTCTTCTTTGAATCAGCAGCGTGTGACAGAGGTAAACGGGCACAACTTCAATTGTCCATCGATCCACTATGACCATTGTTTCCCTCCAATGACCCTCTGCCGCAAAACAAGTTCACAAGATTTGGACTGCCCGTTTGTCAGACCGAACATCCTATGAGCATCCCTTCCACATCCCATGTTCAGGACTCCTTTAGATCATCGCTTTTTGAGGCAAAGGCTACAAAACGGATCAAAAACACTATTAGGTTGGAGGCCATCGCTACTAGGGTGGAGGCCATCGAGGCCATCTCAATTAGGTTTGGAGGCCGGATCAAAAAGGACTCTACGACGTCCTCTTGTTACTAGTAGTACGGGGAGCCTCTAGTAGCTTCTTGTTCCTAGTAGTAAGGCACTTGTTACTAGTAGCGATGCACTTGTTCCTACGACTTCATTCTCCAGGACTCCATTCTCTCACCTCTGTGGGCTTGGCAAGGAAGCTGGCAAATGTGTAGCTGCTGGTGAAGGGCACTTCCTCCAGAGTGAGGCCCGAGTAATGACAACGGGGCGACCTCCAGTTGCTTAAGCTACTTTGAACTGCTTCAAAACCCAATCAAAAGCTCTAAGACTCTTAGCAAACCTAGAAACAACAGCAACATTCCATAATATCATGTTCCTTTGTGTAGAGTCTAGAGATACAAAAACTCTCTGCCAAACAAAGTCACCCCACTCAGAAAATCAAGCTGTGTCCTTCTCTTTGACGCTGGCCATCCACTCATGTTCTACGAGCTCATCGCGATAGGCTGCGCCGAAGGGCCCTGCATAGCTCATAAAGGCCGCTGACACCAGACAGTCACCAAAGAGATTCTCTTGCCTGGGAGTCACAAACAAGAGGCTTTTCCACATCAATAAACAATAAGGAAAAACAACTGAAAGCTCGAGTCAGCTTGAACTTCTATTTTATTCTTTTGCAAGTCTGAACACAGCACAGCATGGTAGGCGTGTTTGAGCAAGCGCTCTGCTTTCAACAAGAAGCAAAATGGGAGAGAGTCTGTGCGAAAGGCGAAAGGTTAACCAAAATCTATCAAACACTGAAGAAAAGAGTCAGTTTTCACAAATTGCGCAAGCTGATGCAAATTGATAGTACACACTCACCATCCGTTGGATTCCCTAGTCTTGGAGGATTGCACAAAGCCAAGACTGAAGAAAACGGACGCATGCGCGAAAGTCTCGAGAGTGGCTGTCGTCCCATTCCCACACTGGGACATTGCTGTCCGAGCAGCTGGGCATCAAATTTCCCCAAGGACTCCGTCCAGCGGACCTTCTCACCCGCCAGGCCATCGACCAACTTGCCTGGCGTCTTTTTCTTTGCCCACGACCCAAAGAAGTCTAACCCAACAAGCCACCCACTTATATAGTATCCCGAATGTAATCTGTAAAACCCAGGCTTTGACCCTGGCCCTAAACATTGAAGACGCACAATTCCCTTGTTCATTTAACATGTCCACTTATTCCTTTAGGAAATACCAATCATCGAAGGGGTGGGTCTTATGTAGTCTTATGATGTCTTTTCACTCTGGACGTGGATGATCTCTGGTTAGGATGGAGATGAAGTTGAATTTTACATATTTATTAATAAGAAATCGATTTTGGGATATTGCAAACAGTCCACGAAACGGCCATACACATTGGAATCCTTGATGAGTTCTGGCTTGCGGCAGTGCCACGCTCAAAAACCAATTCTCGGTGATCAAACTAGTCTGGTCGGCCACAGCGGCCCAAAGGACAAGGGAAAGGGAAAGGGCAAAGAATGCAAACCGGGTAACCGTGGCAAAGCCTATCGCTACCATCTCAGGCTCTCAATTGACCCGTTGCATTGTTACTTGCCGCTTCTGAAAGCTGCAAAACATTGCACTGTCAGAATAGGACGGGGAAAACACAAACATTCAAACACGGCCTCCCAGGTAATCCAGTCGCTTTTGGATCGTTCCTCAATCAACACCACCTACGTACATGATTTTGTGCTTAGGGGATCCACATTCATTCGCTTGAGGGAGGGCAAGGGGCCTGTTGCATGACATTCAGGCTGAAGCAATCTGCCGTGAGACAAATCACTGATTTGGAAGAGCAGCTCCAGTGATGAATGGATGACCAATACTGCTAGAGGGACACGCTGCCAATTGTGAGGCTAGCCTGCACGCTCTAGCTTTACCTTGAGCTCTTCAGCCGTTCGTGCCAAGGTCTCCTGCCAGGTCTTCAAAAGGCTCCAAGAGCCAAACGGGATTTAACACGGTCGTTTTCTCCCTAACAGGCATCGGGGTGTAGTTGTCTATGGAAGGGTCATTGTAGATGATCTTTTGAAAACGCTAACTGAGTCACTGACTCTTAGTTTGGGAAACCGTTTTTCTTCAATTAAAGTCGTTTGACTTCTGCCTTCTCATTGTTGGACGAGTTGAACTGGTCATTCAGGCCCTTCACAAGGTCCTGAACCTTCTTGAGTTCCTTGGCAGAATGCTTTTCTAAGTTTAAATGCACTTCTAAGTTTAATTGCACTACTCCCCAGGTATTAGCTACGCGAAACTGTAGCACAGGAATGCACAGGAAGCTCACTAAAGCTTCTTAGTTGAGACACCAACCAAAATTGACATCCCTCACCATAGTATCAAACGAGTGCAAGATTGCAAGGTTGTGCCAGCTACTAGGGGCTCCTGGCCTTACTACTAGGAGCAAGGACGCTACTAGGGGCTCTCCCCCTTCGCCTTTGTCAGGGCAACTTTTTGCACGAAGGCATTTAATTGCAGCCCGTCGCCTGACACAGCCAAGGCTCCGCATTTGCCTCGCGCAATTGCTTTTGCTTCGACTCCAACTTCTCTTGAGCTTGTCTCAACTTGTTCCTGCGGAATGGTTGTTTGATGTTGTTTGTTTCGTCCTCTCAAACAACAGCCTTCTCCCTTCCAAGAAGCACAAACCACTGCACAATGTCACAACCCAACATTTGAAGCTGTGCTGACTTGACCAACCTTGGGTCTGACAGTCCAACACATTGGACCAACTGGAAGCTGTGCTGAACAAGTGCAGGAGGAGACGTTTGTCTGTTTACGCAATTAAACATAAGTTTTCTCTTTTAGCCCGCCCTTACTTTATTAAGTAGGCGCCAATTTATCAAAAAAGGGAAAGTGCTCCTAGCTACTTAAGCTACTAGTATGGACGCAGGATAGCCCTCGCACTAATGATTTGGTTCCTAGATGTTTAGGGAAACTTGAGGTCCTCTTTGGCTCCACTTCTCGATAGATCTCAGCATAAATCTTCATGGCATGCACCCACTGGCACAATGCGCCCGCAGCCAACGAGACATTGGACCTGAGTGAGTTTGGAAGTTCTATGAATGTGCTTGCATGTGCTCGGGTGCTTGGAACACCACCTTGTGTATAATGTGTATATAAATACATATATATATAATTAGTACGATAAGGAACTTTGCTGACATTGACGAAGACGTGCTGTGATGTGCAAGTGCAAGGGTTTCTTCTTCTTCTTCCTGCCTATTCAATGCATGTACCTCCCACTCTGGGCGACTGACACCAACTTGGGTGTGAAGTTGGAATCCTTCGTAAACTTCTCGATTTTCCTGAGTGTGGTATCCTTAATGTTGTCCTTGGCCAGATGGCAAACATCAAGTCCATCACACCGCCCGTCTCAACACCAAACACAAGAACCATTAATACTGTCTAATGTCCCACAAACAACGTGCCAGCGAAGTCAAGATCGGTCCTTATCAAAGTTTTTGATCCTCACCAAGAAGTTTGTATCATTCAGCTCTGTCTTTGCCTGGCACTACGAGCATCGTGGAATCATCCCACTCCCAAGCTTTCACACACACTTATGATTTTGCGTACTGAACTGAAAGCGGTGCCACACGCCAGCCTAGGTAAAAACCGCCTAAGGTTCCAGGTAGTAAGTTTGAGGCCTCCAAGGCCTATGAGCACGAGGGCGAACGACGGCGACAGGGTGACGACGGATCGTGCATGTCTGCGGAGCTCAAAAGGTCCCAACACTCCAACGTGAGTCGCCGCTGCATTAGCCGCTTACTGCACAACAAAGAATGAGACAGCTTTCGCAATACTTAGGTTCTCAACAGCAGGTACACCAGGTTGATCAGACCTGGCTTCCCAGATGCAAGGTAGCTTTGTTAGGCGCAGTCCCTTGCATCTGCTGCGCCCCCCTGCTGAACAAAAGAAAAACCAAAAGTACCATCCGTAAGGATCCCTGTGACTACAAGGGGCACACACACACACACACTCTCGTGTTGGTCATGCAGCGCTAAGATTGCATCACGATTCATGAATGTGCGCCAAGTCCAGATCCACTCATTCACAGGCGGCATCTCATGGCATGGTGCTGTGGTGCTCCCATGGCGCTTCGATGCCTGACCCCAGGAAGGAGTCTTCTCCATAACCGTCATCACTGCGCACATGGTCTTCATCACTGCGTCTGGTGGTTTGGGATATGCTTTCACCTCAAGGCAGTTGTCTTTGCGAAATCACAACTCGTTCAGCAAATTTGCAAAACTCGGGCGCGCCTCGGCAATGGATTTCTTATCCAACTTCTCCAGGGCATCCACAGCAGCGTCAAGAGCTGGCATGGCTTTCTCAAGATCGCGCGTCGCATCGTCCGCCAAGATCTTGGTCTCCTCAGCAGAGGCTTGTGCTGATGGCATTCAGGAGGCAACTGGTAGATACAGTACAAAATTCATTTTTAGAATCACACATGCCCTATACACCGCAGTCACATCACAACACGTGTATGACCCTATCACGATTTTTTGCATGTTTAGTTTAGCCCCACCTCTGCATAAGAGCAACCCATTCAGTGGTGACCAAACAATGACGCGCACTTGGCCTACCTATTTGTCCGGTGTACAAATCTTGCTTTGTGGAGCTGCAATTTCGAATCATAATTTGTGAGGCGCGGCGCGCATAAGAAAAGGATATCGGTATCTATCACTGAGCAAAAAAAAATCATCCCACACATCTAGCCATGGCTGCAACATATGCTTCCCGTTGAGCATGGATGCCCACCCCTCCACGCCTTGGCCTCCTTCTCAATGCGGATGGAGTCTGCTTCCACCTGTGCTTGTTGTGCGTCTGCCTTGGATCGCTCTGCTGTAATCACCTGCCCAAAGGCGATTCGCAGCTTGGAGGCTCCAATCAGCTTCAACATGCTTTAACATGAGACCGTACATCTCCCAACAACACCCAATTGGAACTTTCCAGCCAGCCTTGAGAAGTTCTTCACACTCCTTGGCCTTGACGTCACAAATCTTTTGCTTCTCTTCCTCAGTGGCAAAGTGATGACTCACACTAGAACGTGACTCGTGTAACCTCTAAACTCACCCCTGCTTGGAATGCCTCGTCAAGGTGATAACCTGGACTCATCCACTGTCTTCGTCTTCCAATGTCAGCTCAGAGAAAACTCTCTTTACCATGTTTCTGTATAGAACCCATGTTTACGTTCTGTTTTCATCTGTTTTCTACGTTGTGAGATTGCGTGACATTCGTGCCAACCATGGACTTGTTCTACAGTCTTTCCTTCCGACAACCTCACCTCTTCAATGGTTTGATGCTGGACACCCTTTGGCCTTCGGCCTCTTGACGTCCTGATCTTTCAATGCCCAAGTTGTGACAGGGGAACCTCACAGGGGACCTTGACACGAAGCTCTGCATTTCTCTCTTGTCAAGACACCAAATCCACGCTCATCTCTGCCACCTGGACTCGAGCGTCATCCAGCTTCCTGAGATGATGGCCAGCTTAGATTTACTTGGATGTTCCTTGCCCATGAAGGACGTACTATATAATCATTTCAAAAACTTTCATTTTCATGTCAGGTAAATAATCGACTCTTCGTTACACCAAGCAGCGACAGGCCATTGCGAAGCTTGTCAGCTGCTGCTCCTAATTCCTTTTGCTTGTCCTCACTCATTGACTTGCCATTCGATTCATCGTCTATGGACATGCAAGATGAAGCCCAACTTGATTCATACATTTCACTTTCGACATGTGCGCCAATCTCTGTCATCAAGCGGAATCCCCTTGGATGTCGGACCTTCAGCATCTTCATGTAGCCTTGCACAAGCTCCAAGTAGTTGGTCGGCGTGACATAATTCATGCGCTTCTGCTCCTCGTCAAATGACTTGTGCGCTCTCTGTCTGTCTGTCTGTCCGTCCGTCCGTCCGTCGGTCGGTCTGTCGGTCTGTCTGTCTCGACATCTGTACACAAGAGAAAGAGTACAGATCTGTAACAAAGAAGCGTGTAGATATATCCTCTCATGCTCTCTTTCGCTCTCTTTCTCTTACACGCGCCTTTCCTGCTCTCTTTCTCTCTACATCTACATCTGTACACAAAAGTATTTCTCTCTTCCAAGATCCATCCTGGTAGATACGCGTGGAGAAACGCATTACTGTCGTGTGGGCGGCCCCGAAAATCTCTGCAACAGGTGGACGGAGATGCTCTTCAAGTTCGCCTATCCAGGACATGTCACTTCTTGTCTTTTAAGCAAAGTCCTCGACACCCCAAAAAGCTCGTGCCTTCGGTGAGGAATTTCAAGGCCACTTCAGTCAAAGCTTCAGCTGGCCATGGCAGAAGCCAAATGGCAGTAGTGCAGCTTACCAAAGAGGGGTACATACCTCACTGTCCAAAACACTTCGAATCAGTCACCAAACAGGCACGGAACAGGCTGTTTGTACAGCAAAGCATGCATCTTTGCCCAACCAAGCTGCGGCAATAGTCTCGGAAGTTGTTGCCAATGTAGGACATGCAAAAGACCTCAGCAAGGACATGCAAAAGACCTCAGCATCTGTTGCGTGGGCCAGTTACTCCCTTGCATTCTTGAACTGAGAACGAGGCTATGTGCAAATTCTCTCGCACACGAGAGATAAAGAAATCATACATAGCTTCTGGAGTTTGCGCAATCTTCGCTTCCTGCCAAAGGCGGCCCACCAAGCACATATGGGGCATGAGGTTTACCGCAGTGAGTAAAGCAGCGGATAATATTTGGATATATTTGGTGTGACAGAGTCTGTTTATGCTTTGCAACCACTTACCGCATTGAACAACAATTGTGACTGTTTTGGTCTGCTTATGTTGTTGGATGAACAATACACTCACTCAAAGCACGTGTCCGAGTAACTACACCTTCCAGTCCTTACCAGCTTTCTCCAAGCTGGCGCGTACAGTTGAGAGCTCGTCCCCAGTGAAAAGATTTGGTACTTCACCACTGCTCAGCATGTTGGCAACATCCTCCAAGAAACTCTCCTCCACAATCTCAGTGTCCTGAGAAAATGTAAAAACCTCTGCAAATACAAGAGTACAACAGACTGGGCAAACCTTGGGTCGTTCTTGATGCCTTGCAGAGCTGAAATGCATTGCAAAAGTCACACATACATACACATACTATTTACAGACTCTTGAACGTTGAGACAGCCCAAGCTATGCCAAGAATCTGAAAAAAGGAATGTCATCCTCTGGTTCTTGACACCGGTGAGCTCATAAAGCTTCTTGAGGTCCTCCAAGAATGCATTATGCTTGTACCTTGGTTAGTCATTTGAGACAGTTTGTATGGTGCCCCGCAAGCTTGCATGTATGTACATCTTTGGTCTTTAAACCTGTGGCTGTCGCATGCACTTTTCTTCAACAAGTTGATGTATATGTATATATATATGGCTGCTGTAACAATTCATTGGTTATATACACATGGTATATATACGTGCAAACAAACAGTCCTCCTGTTTGCTTTAAGCTTTGTATGCACCAGCCATCAAAGCTTCCCTTTGGGAACTACACAATTTGCGGAAGGTCCCGAAGCCAAGCTACTGCTTGGTGATTTCGATGGAGAAGCACTTGTAGAAGGCAATAAAGGAAGCCAACCTTGTTTGGCAATGCCTTCCAGATCCACCCACGCCGATGAGGAGTGCATTGCCTCTCAGAAAACGAATCGTAGAGGATGACCTTTGCAGTGCTACAGTGTAGAGACTAGAGTTGTCAGGGATCCCCTTTGATCCTCACGGTGTCCTCCTGTCCAAAGTGTCCTTTGCACGTCAGTCCTTGTGGCTGCTTCAAGATGCGCAACACCTTGCAGCAAATCTCCACCGCCTCCTTGAACCTCAATGACTGAAGGTATCTCGAGGATATTCCGAAGAACTGACCAACACACCAACCCTGCACCCCAATTCCAGCCCAGTGGCATAACCAGGGACATGGGTGACTTCTTGAACATGGCGTTGTAGTCCTGTGCACTACTTAAAGACATCTGAAACGGGAAGATCATCGGATGCTGAGCTGAAACCTGCCGTGGAGCTAGGAGTCCTCGTTCCTGCTTTCCATGAACCGTTTGAGGCCTGACGCACTCAAAGAGTTTGTTTTCTCGATTATATTTTCTGCACTTGCAGCGGTTTGCACCGAAGCCTTAGAAGGAGTACGATCCACTGAGATTTTAAACCATAGTATGCTGTATGCTTGAGAAACATCATGAACGGGGCATGCCTGAGTCACCATTGCGGTCTTGCATGTAGTCATAGACGGCATCTTCTGCTTCTGGATTGGTCAAATCCAAGGATGCGAACACAAAGTCCGGATCGCCACCGTCAATCCTTAAGTGATGGAGACTCCCCTCAGCAAGACTATTGAGCAGCTTGCGATGCATCATTATGCATGGTGACTTTTTGGTTCCTCGCTTACTGTCTTAAAAAAATCAACGAGCCTTCCTGCCAATTCCATCTGGAATTTGCCGTGGCTCTCTTTCTGCCTTACTTGGAGGCCATTGTCCATTGCGGCGTCAAGTAGGCTCCGGAACTTCTCACGATCCTGCAACAAACTAGCTGCTAGCTGCCGCGTTGAATCTCAAATGGGGCCCTTTGCATTCGTCAGCCCTCTTGCAGCGCTTGATTCCCGCCAATACCACAACAATGGCCTTCCTTTCTAGTCTAGTGCTCCATGGGTGAGATCAAAGGTTCCAGGCTCTTAAGTCAATTGCTTGATTCTGTCCTCGTGGTTGATGAGGCGATCACAGAAGACACGGCAGCATTCATGGTACCAAAGACGGACAATCTGCTCCTTCTGTTCGTGGACCTGACGGGAGCTTAATTTGTCAATTTTCAATCAGCTCTGAGGCTCGTTTTGAAGGAGCTTATATAAAATACACATACAGTGCCCGGGCCGGATGAATATCGTGGCAATTGAGGTGTTTGAACTACTGTGGCCCTAGTATTCTCTGGCAGTGCAAAACTAATCGGCTAACAGTGACTTGCAGCTGAGCCTTAGTATCTGCCAAGTAGATCCCTTGAAAAATCTTCGCAATATCCCGCAAATTGAAGAGGTAGTGGCACTTCTCAGGTGTTGGCAGAAAACCTGGGCATCGAAAAAACACCCAAGGACACAAGTACCAAACCACTACCACAATACAGCTCACACCCAATGAAAAATGAACCGCTTCTACTGTAAAGCTGACCTCAGGTCTGCGATGATGGTTGCTTGGGTTCCACTCATTTGTATGGATCTATAACCTTCGCATGCGAGCAACCGTCAATCACTTGGGTGTAGATGTTGATGGTGGTCATTGTCAAAGGCTCAGAAAGCGCCTTGATCTCTTCGCTTTGGAACGTGTTCAGCTTGTTGCCTGGGAAGGATGTCAAAGGTCCGAAGTCTTCACAGTTGCTCTTCTGTTCTCAACCCCTTTGATTGTCACGCGCAAGAGCAAAAAGATGTGAAGTGATGGCTTCTTCGCTTTTCTGCAACCATTCAAACGATTCAAGGGTTTTGCGTGTGCAACAGCCACGGCCCAGTTGCTGGCCAACGTCATGAAAATGCGCTTGATCTGGCTGTCGGCAGGATTGACCTTGCTTCAACACAGCCTAAGAATATACATATACAACGTATATACAGTATATATAATGTATATATATATACACATGTTTACGCACTTAGAAAAGAGCATCATAGCTGGCTTACTTTGTGTCACAAGACAAGCTACAAAGCAAAGATTGTTGGCTGCGCTCTGCAAGCGTGAAGAAATCACAGCGCGGCCACCGCCAGGTGGTCCCATAGCAGAGACCATGTGAATGCCTTCTGCATACCTCAGAAGTGGAACATTGGCCTTTGGGAATCTGGCGAGCTGGCACAGGTGCAGGGAGAATCAAAGGCTTTCTGAAATGTTCAGCCCGGGTGCCTCAGGGTTTGCTTCTGGCGATCATACCAGCAACCATAGTCGATCCACTGCCGCAGAAGTTCCAAAGGTGGTTGTGAGCCAAAGGTGTCTTTCCTGCCGAATGTGCCATGGTTGAGTCCCTTTCAAATCTCTTTTGGGGTCAGTAAAGGAAAATACTGTAAAGGAAAGAACAAAAGAAATGAGAAAAAGGAAGGTAAGGCAGGTAAGGCTCCTTTCAAAGGGGCCGTGCAATCCCTTTTTTGATTTCATTATTCTTTCCTTGCCCATGCCTACATGTGGACAGACCATGCTGTGACATGGCGGATGAAAGACTGCATTTACAAAGTCTGGTAGAACCTTCCCCCATACAACCTTTGGAGTCACCTTCAGGATACACCGCCCCCCTACCATCGTAGACTCTTCTAAAGAAATACAGTAAGCAGAATTTAGAGCGAGGAAAATCAGAATTCACTTGTTACGAACTATTTTGAACATGATCGTCATGAGAGTGCACGAGGAACAGAAGGCATTGCGACGACGGAGACACATTCCCATTGGCGAGATGTTCACTGGAATCCTGATCAGCACTGCATGAGAAAACCCCCCTCCTCGGCATGTTCAAGTCGTCCACAAACATGAGCATGCGCTTGTTGCCAGCCTTATGTTCGATGCCATGTTAAATCTACAAGGCGTCGGAGTAGCTCTGATTCTGATGCTCAATGACAGAACTCCAGTACCGACACTACCAGAAATCCTTCGAGGAGTGGAGCACTACTCATCCCGGCTGATACCAACTTGAGGCTATGCCCTCTGGAGTCTGCACCTCCAATTTGGAAACCAATGGATACCTCCTGAAGTGACTCTTTTAGTATTCAAAAGTGAGATAAATAAGAACAACCTCAGCCCAGTCATGTCAAGAAGCAGGACCAAACTTGTTCTTGATTCTCTTTTCGATCTTGCTTTCAATAATTTCTTGCGTCTTGCCTCTCAGCAGGAATTCTCACAGGTGGAAGTGTCATTGGACCTTCCAATGCACCTGCCTGAAGACGTCATAGCTGACATGTTGATTGTCAAGGATGTCCACGAAGTTTCTTCCAACCCGGCGATGGCCTCTTTCGAAAACGTAGAATTCTTTAACACAAAAACAGCAAAAGACGAGCTCGCAGTCATTTCAAGGCTTCTAGGACTAGCTCAGGTCTGCTCATCCTGGTCATTGGAGCCGTGCTCGTGCCTCTTGAACAGCGATTGTCTTGCCCGTGCCAGTGCAACCCACCAAAAGGCTGTGGAAATGCTTGGAGTTCAGCGACTTTAAAATAAAGAGATTTCCTCAGCTAATCGGACTCCGCGAGGCCACAAAACATGCCCGAGACAAGCGCTTAGCCTTGCCAAGTCTCGGATGGTATCCGTGGTAGGCACGACAATCTTGTGGAACGGGGTTCCTTCCTTGGCAGTGCTAGATGTAGGTAGCCTGGAAAGTTGAGCTTCCCCTGATGGATAGACAGCTTTGTGAATGGCCCACCAGAGTCAGCCAAGGCTCCTCTGGCCGGAAGGGGTTTGGCAGCTTCTCGTCCCAGGGTGCGAAGTCCGCCTTCTCAAAGTTGAAGGCATAATCGTAGATCGATTGAGACGCCGGGAAGTAATTCCTGTGTCCAATTTCTCACACTGGTCATGCAGTGGGCAAACACATGCATACAAATAACTTAAATTATGGGCACGCAAGGCTAATCCTTGAGGACAAAAAAGGGTGCACTCTTGGGATTGCGTCTAGAAACAATAGGCACAAGTTACGGCATAAGCAACCCAGTCTAAAGTCGTCGCACACCTGGCTGAACATCTCAAGAATCCTCTGCTGCTCGATAAACAGGACACAACGAACATATTAGACATCCTCTTGCACCAGGTCCAGCTTCAACATCCTCTTACTTTCTTTGTTCCTAGTAGCGTCCTCGTGTTCCTAGTAGTAAGGCCAGGAGCCCCTAGTAGCCCCGATCGTAGCGTCCTCGCTCCTAGTAGCGATGCCTTTTGTTCCTAGTAACTGACCACCCTCTTGGAGTGGACAAACCCGACAAAGTATTGTTGTAGCAAAGGATGTTTCAAAACCTCTAAGCAAGGTGAAAGGAAAACCACGCCATTCCCCCAGTAGTTGGGTGTCCCCTCATTCTGATGCCCTGGTACACTTCGCCTTTACTGCTGTAATCCGCTTTTGAGGCAAGCATCTCCACTTCTCGCACGCATTGGTCGAAGGTCGGCCTGGATGCCTCTTGGCTCCGCACAACAAGTGATACAACCCTGTCTTGTTTGGGTGCTTTTCAATGTCCATAGTATAGAGAGACTTCCCAGTGCTGTGTTTCTGGATACTTCGGTTTATCCACTCCGAAACGTGGTCAGGCCTCTGTAATGGAAGCTCCCAATGACCAGATCAAGGAGAATGCAAACAGCTTGTCCAAAGCTTCCAGGGTCTTTTCTCCAAAGCTTTCAATGTCAATTTTTGGCGCGAATGTCTCATACAATCCTGCAAGCAAAATGCAGCCAACTGCGATCAACACCTTCTGTATTGCAGAACTTCCCAGAGATTAACAACGACAATTGAATTTTATTGAACATTATTCAGCTGAATATTTCATTGTCACACCACACTCGGAGGTCACTGAGAGAAATGGACGGATGCAGCAAAGGTTCGAGTCAGCGACATGACCGCATTGGTATCGACGATAGGTGCAAGCTCAACGCAGTTTTTGCGAATCTTGAGGCACTTGGGAATCCACTTCTCTGCCAGGTTCATCACCTTAGTGTCAGCCAACCTGATAACGATGGCCTCCAACCTAATAGTAGCAATGGCTATGAGCAAGGCAAACACCACTAAAGCTTAAGTTTTGCTATACAGCTTTCATTACCACAAACACCCATCACACCCTCCTGCCGAGTGTCATCTGTCTGTCTGTTGGCTGGAATGAAGTTCTCAACCCAAGACTTGAAATATGGCTCCCATCCCAGGTCTGGCGGATCAAAATACACCTGGGCAGCTGAAGTTGTTCTTTGAAGGTCTGGAGTCTGGAGTTGGGAGATACCGCATTCCATTCCGATCCCAACCAATGACCAACATGAGCAGGCCCCACAAAGCAGCAAGCGCGTACATCAAATCCTCACAATAAAACAACCACTCGGCATTGCGAACATTACATGTTTGTCGTGATCAGAAACACATGAATAAAAGCCGACATGGTGAGGTCTCTTTCTGAATCGCTTTGACGGAAGCCAGCGCCTTTGTCGGCAAATTTGGTGTCCCTGCGGGGACATTGAGATTGATGGGGTTTCGTTCAGCTCTCATACAAACCCAAACCCATCACGCTTTGAGAACCTTGAAAAAACATCTCAATAATCCCACGGATTCTAGTTCTGCCTGGCTGCCATGCCAGCACGGGAAACGGTGGCAGGCGAGGCTTGGGCAAGATCGGCCACCTCAAAAAGAAGCCGGACCATCGGAGGCATTGAAATTCGGTCTCCGTTGATCAGCGTCAAGACCTGGCAAGTGCAAAACACCAATGCCAATTGGGCCACTTCTTTTTCTTTAAATCCCGCTCCTCAACTCCCTACTTAATTAAGCAGGCGCCTACTTAATCAATTAAGGCGACTAGTTCGCCAGTAGCTACTTAAGCTATTAGCATGGATGCAGGATAGCTCACACTTCTTCAAGGAAGCCTTTCACCTGAGGGCGCGGGGGAGCTTCCTTGAAGAAGCGCTCGCACAAATGATTTGGTTCAGATTTTAGGGACACTTAAACTATCATCTCATGATGCCACTCTGAAATTTGTTACACGTTACATTGGGTTTGCTGAGCTTTCAGGCTTTCAGCTGCATTGCGTAATTCTTAGTGACTTGCAACCCTTCTGGACACCTTGTTGTCGTCGAGCACTGTATTCATGGACTCAATCCAAAGAGTATCCACAGGCCCATCCAGTACCAACCACTTCTCGTCCGGCTTCTCGTCCTGCCACAGTCGGCGACAAATTGGTTTGCAACATTTTGCAACTATGCCGCTCTGCTCAAAAAAACATACTATATAAATCATTGTCCTTCTGTGATTGTGAATTTGAACGAATTTGAGGGGCTACCCTTGGATAGTAAGAAATGCAGTGATCGTCCTGGCACATGCGCCGCATAATCGAGGACAGGACACCATCGGTCCATTCCATCATTGTGGCTGCGTCATAGGCGCCGTACAGTTCGTTCCTGATTCTCATACATATGTAATATGCATGGTCATGCATTGCATGATCTATTTTGACCCAGCCATTCAATTGATTCAAGCGAGCAAGCATGCAAAAGATTTGAAGGCGTAAAATCCAAATATTGGAATCCAAGATTTGGATGGTCCAGCCCTTGACTGGAGCTTTCTACCTCCATGCCCCAATTGCATCCTCCCCTCAAAGCATGGCCATATTTTTCTCAAATCTAGACTTTCTCAACGTTGACAAACTCGAAATCTTCAGACCCTCCTGATTGGAATACCGGTCGTTGTCTTCAATTCCCTCATATTTCTTCCAACTTGCTGCCAAGCTTCATGGTGATTGACTTTGGATTGATGATGTCAAAGATAACTTTCTCCATGCCTCAGATATACAGGAACGTGGAGTGCAAGAGGATGTGCATGCAGCCTGAGTCTTGCAGTTTTTGTTGAGAACCTCCGCCAACATTGGAACAGCGTTCAAACTGGGTCGAGTCAAGGAGTCAAGGCACCTTCCTGACCCATGGACTTCAGGATGCACTTGGCCTTTGCCAAAGTTTTCCAGCACACGCTCTTGCCACCAAGCGTTCCGCCCACCAGCATGTTGCCATGGCGGGTGATTTTTGTCTCCTTGGTGGAAGCAGGTCCTTTATTCCTAGTAGCGTCCTTGCTCCTAGTAGCGAGGTCAGGAGCCCCCAGTAGCTTCTTGTTATATACTAGTAGCGATGCCCTTTGTTCCTAGTAGCTCCTTGGTGGTGACTAGATGGTGCAACCCCTTCTCAACTCAAACTTCTCTACATGCACAATGGACCACTCAAGGGTTATCAAGATCACCGTTGTCTAGCACACATCCAGCATAACATCCCCATTTACGTCATAAATAGGCGGTCACATTAGGGCTGGGTCAAGGGAATCGCTGCATTGATCTGGCGGCTCGCTTCTAAACAAAGATCCAACACACAGGCTTTCAATATGACCTGGACCTTCTCCGCCTATATGCTAAGCATCGTTTGCGGATGCCATCTACATACATTGTTGCAATGCTTTTGTAATCGCTGAGCATAGTGCTACTGTACTATGCTCATGCATGTTGAGCAGTGCCATTCCAAGTCTCGTAGATGCTGATGCACTTTGCCACAGAATGCTTGACTTTTTGGCATCCCATCTCTTCCAAAACCTGATTGATCACCTCCTCCAGCTTTCCATAGTCAGGGACAGGAAGCTCCACTCCTCCAGGTTTAAGCAAACATGTCTTCGTTCTCTGTGCTGCAGCAAGGCCTCAGGCTAGTCCTGGGAAAATGTCGCTCAGAAGTGCTTGATAAAGAGGAACATCTTGTGACACCCATTTGGGAGCATTCATGTCCTTAGCTCCAGGCATGCATGTTCACTCATCGACAACAGATTGAAAAGAGCCCCCCCAGCATTCTGCACTTCTGAGCATTCAGTAAGGCATCATTGATTGCGCGCATCAAAAGGATTTGCTCTGGCATATCTGGCTCCTATGAACTCAGGCAAAAATGTTCAATCTTATATCTGAGTCATTCAACAGTAGCGTGTCAGCTCTTGTGGCTCTTGTCTTGTTCCGGAAATTCGATGGGATTTGGGATGCAGTGACTGTCCAAAAGACTCCGAAATCTCGCCTTGCGCTTCAAAGCACCTGCACATCCCAGAACGGACTTGATGTTTCGTAGTCCGAAGTCATAGTGATGCTGCTTGGACCTGAAGCTGACTTGTGTCCTTCGAGCCTGCTTGATGAACAAACAGGGCTATAGCGAAGCCAAGTGGTACTTCGTTCTACTATCTGATAAGGTCTTTGCCAAGCTACATCTGCTGCAGCATCATCTGGTAAAGTGTGAACTTTTTCTTGGCTAACATCTTGAAGTCCTTGAAGCCTGCCATTCTGTGCAAAGTCCCCTACCTTCATGGGTTCAACTTTCACATGTGAGTGCACTGTCACATGCTATTATGGGTTGAACACCGATGTGATTCAAGGTGGCAACAACCGGCGACGGAGATTCCCAGCGAGAGCCTTCTGACACCAGCATGATTTCCTTGGGACAGCAATGCGGACTCATTGTGTGAGAAGTAGCATGTCTCAAAAAGTAATTGACATCTCTTATCTCTTCAATTCAATTTCTTAGGATTTCAGAAAGCGTCCATGATCATGGCAAGGTCTGGGACCATCATCGCCACTGGTCGGAACAATGCCTTCAGATTGTCTGGCAGCTCTGAACGTCCAGCATAACCGGGGTTCATCGTGATGAAGACCTGCCAGATCAAGCCATGGGATCACTGTGACTTGTCAGCTGAATGAATATCTTGTATCAAGCAGGTTGTGCCAAGGGACCGCACAAGTTCTCTTCAAGCTAATCAGGATGTCCTTCACAAGCTTCGCTCAGCCACACCAGTTTAGTACTCAACCGAGACCTTTTCAAGTCCTCGAACAGGAACTTGTCTTTCTCTTCTTTCAAGGCATTCTGAATGGTCATGATTTGCACTGCAACCACGGACCTGGGATTCAGCGTTATTTAACAAAGTACTGTTTTTAGAACACACGCACGGCAACGGGCAGGTCCGCTTGCACACTCATCTACGGGTCTCTTTTTGCCGAGACTCAACACAGAGACATCGATGCGGTTGAACTCATCGAAGCAGCCCCAGCAGCCACACCTGATTGACTGATTGACAACAGTTTTCCCAGCTTACAGTATCACACTTTCGTGATCTTGCCTTGTATGCTGGGACCAGTTGCTGTGATCTGATCTTGTGATCTGTATCTTGTTTCATGACGGAGACAAGTTGCTGTGCCAAACCCGAAAACATGCGGCCCAAGGATTTGTAGTCCAAGCCATCGGAGCAGTTGAAAACAATGACGTACCTAGGTTCCAAGAAGTTATTCCTCGAAGCGTTAGCCTTGAACACTTCACAAAATCAAGCATAATGCAGCATCATGATATGCCATGCCGCCACATCATTGTTCAAACTACACAATTTCATCTCTCATGCTGCATGCTCACATTTTTTGTTTTTTTCCTTTTAAAGAATCAATACATGTGGCAAACTTGGGACTTTGACTCACAGGGCCGCCAGGGCAGCTCAAACCCGAAGAATCAAAGCAAGGACCAGGTGACATCGCCATGCCTTTGCCCAAGTCTTTCACCTGAGATCTCAACAAACGGTATGTGACGTGCCTCGTTCAGCACAAACGAGACATGGTAATCATGGTCACTTGAGTCACTATTATATGTTCGTTATCATGCCGCAATCATGCCTGTTATTTCTACTTCAAGGGCTTTTCCTGCGATTCTACGCATCACTGCATCCCATCCGTTGTCTGAAAGGAAACATCTGATGAAGCCATTTCTCCTGAGTTGAAGATCCCTTTACCCTATGCAAGTAATCTAATTCGAATCAGTTATCCAAGGCACTGTTCCCAGCACGACTCGATTCATTTATTTGAACTGGGCCTTTCTACCTATGTGAGCACCTAATGTCCTTCTTTATCTTCTGTTCTCATCTGTTCTCTTCTGTTTTCATCTCAGGTGTATCTAGCCAGGTGGCTGACTCAGTCTTACCTGTGCCTGCAGGGCCTGCAGGTGCGCCACCTCGCTTCAGGTGCATGGCCTTGATGCGATCTTCAGCCGTAACAAACAACGCTTCAACCGTCATCCTTAAAGGGCCCTTACAAAGCCTTACCTTCTTTGTTCATCTCTTAAACATCGTCACAACGCGACGGGCACTGTCATGTCAGCGATGGAAGCTGCCAGGTTGCAGTGGTCAAAGTCATATAGCAGCGGTCAGTCATGGGTGTCACCACCAAACGGCCGTTGTTGCCCTGATACTCGTAGCCTGTCTGTGTCATCTTGAAGGACAAATTGAACATGCAACAATGCAACACTTCTCATTCTTCGGAAGTAGTCTCACTGCCGAGCACTTGGTAGGTTCAAGAAGTGATCTCAAATCAATCAGGGTAAAGAACCCATCGATAGTGCGTCTGGTACTTGAAGGGCAACGAGGGGGGGCCAAACCAAATGCGATCAAGTGACCGTAAGGTGCCGTTGTGTTGGTTTGCAGAACTACGCATGTCTGCACCGGCTGACCACCAGAGGAGTCCTGTCTGCAGTTGGGTGTTGCTTGAGCCATTCAACCCAGTTATAGTCCTCCATGAAAACATCTCAAAACAGTTTCTCTGCATCTCTTGCAACTTAGAACAAAAAAACCACAATGCTTCAAACCGCTTTCACAGTGCAGCAAACCTACCAGTATCTTCAGTGAACCCCCAAAAAACGGTCCTCCTGACTGTCCCGCAGCTCGAAGCGCAGCTGGGAGGTCCAATTGAAGTTGCTGGGCGATTCTGTCTTCAGGTTCTCGGTCGGATTCAACAACTATCCAGTCGACTAGAACTGGAGCAACAGGAACAGTGCCGCCAGTGTTTGTCTCTTGCACGGTTCTACTTGTCTTATTCCATCTCCACAGCAGCACAGCACATCACTCTCAAACACCACGTTTTTTCCGCATTTCCGCCGTAGTTCTTCGACAGAAACTGTAGTTTTTCCCAGCATAGGCGTCAAAAAACCAAAAACGCTAAGCAACCAGAAGGCATGGTGTCGACAGGGGGTCTTCCCAGCCCCAAAGAATATACCGAGCCACGATAACACAATTATACCGGCATAGACCCCAAGCAGTTTCAAAACGATTCGTGTGGGCCAATACTAGTCAAAAACGGTTTCTTGGTACGCCCTACCCCGGCCAAGAGCAAACGACGCATCGCTAATTGTTCGGCCACAAGCGAAGACAAAAGAAGAGCAGGACAAGAGAAGAGCAGGACAAGAGAAAACAAGAGGAAGACAAGACCCGGTCACAGAGTTCAGGGGGGTGGCCCGTCAGTGTGTCCAGGGGTGGTCAGCGTGGCCAGAGGACAAGAGAAGGACAAGAGGAGGACAAGAGGAGGACAAGAGGAGGACAAGACCCGGCCACAAAGCCCGGCCAGCTCTCTTTTTCTAAGATAGAACCCCAACAGTAAACTGTTTGGGGAAAAACAAGTAAGCATATTACATCGGGATGAGAAGCATAGGTCGTTCCCATCATTGCAGGCAATAGCGAGAAACCCTGCATCGAAGACCAAAGGTGCCAGGTTACGAACAAAACATGCCCAAAGCATAACACTTGCATGGTCTTCTTTGAAAGAAGGAAGCACCAACAAAACAAACATATCCTCACACCATCCCCCTGCAAGGAGAAAAGCAGCAAGCCAAAACAAATGCATGCGCTCATACACTGGCTTGCCCATCTTACCCTGGAAGATGGAGACCCCTAATTATACCAGCATAGACCCCAAACAGTTTCAAAACGATTCGTTGGGACATGTTGGGACCAATTCAGTCAAGAACGACTTCTTGGTATGCCCCCCCCGAATGATTTGTGTCGGCGTCGACATCGCTAATTGTTCGGCCACAAGACAAAACAAGAGAAGAGCAGGACAAGAGGAGGACAAGACCCGGCCACAAAGCCCGGCCACAGAGCGCGGCCACAGGGTTCAGGGGCGCGGCCAATCAGTGTGGCCAGCTCTTTTTTCTAAGATAGAACCCCAACAGCAAACTGTTTGGGGAAAAATCATGTAGCTGGTACCAGGCAGATCTAATCCACTCATCACCCGTACAAGCTTGTGATGCAACTACGTATATATATATATATACGATATATATCATTTATAGCCTAGCACCTCCAGAAAGTAGCTTGCAGTCAAAGAGACAATCATGCGATCTTGTACGTCTCTTGCATGCACTTCAATTGTGATAAGTGCCACCAGCTTGTTGCGCTCAATCCTCGGACGCAGCAAACACGTTGCGAGAGTGCGGTATATCAATGTCAGGTATCTTTTCTATTTTGGAAGGGAAGACAGCCTCCTCCACTTTGCCACACATACATCAAACTCAAAATTCTTTATCGGTTGTGGAAGAAGGTTGTTCGAGATGTTGTCGAACAACAGGATAACCCACGCTCGTAAATTGGTTGGCAAGGCACTTGGTCAAAGGTTTTCGGATCATCTCGCAGAGCTTCGAAATATATTTACTCTGTGTCCTCTTCAGCATCCTGCATCTTGTTGCAAAGTTGCAAACGATTCATACATGAAGAGCTATCGAACATTGAGAGGATCAAATTGCTTCGCCATGAAATTGCTTCTGTTGATTCCAAGAATCCTCAGCGCATTCTTCTGGCCCTTCTCCACTTTACCCAGTGCTGCTGCACAGTCTGTGGTCCAAGCAATTTGCCCAGATGTGATCCTTAGACAGGGCAAGCAATCGCGTTCAGCATCATACTTAGAGTCTGGTAATCTGACATGCAGTACCATCTACTACATCCTTTATATAGAGGATTCCAGACTGCATAGTACTGCAAAAGGAACTCTTGCTGTCCAAGGAGCAGGAGTTGGCCAAGGAACTCTTTCACCCATTTCTCTTTCTTCATTGCCTGGCAGGATCTCAACATCTGCTGTGTCCAACAAAGCCTCAGTCATCCGCGGGCCTTGGGGTTGATGTTCATGTTGTGGCACTTGACAAGGTGCGCCTCACAGCTTTAAACAATTTAAAGTGAATCCAACTCCAATCCAAAGAGCATGCCATTCATGGCCATGCTGAGGCCTCCCAACTTAACAACACCCATTCTGCATCAAAAGCAGGTCAAAGGAGTTGTAACTTAAGAAACAACATCTACATAAAACTTCCTCAGTAACTTCTTGCCTTCAGAGATTCGAACATACGCTTCTCCACCAAGCCCAACCACACCTGGGCAGATCAAACACGCAAGCAACGGATCCTTTGGAGCCATTTCCAAACGCCAAAGCTGTGGCCATCCTTGTGGGGCACATTGTGGGGGCGTCGGGAACCCTCACCATCTATCTACATAATGTGTGAGAATGTATGTGTATATATATATATATACACACTTATTCATGCTATACATGATGTATACCAAACTGGGAATAGTAATTGGATTCGTTCACACCGGAATCAGCCCGCCGTGTAACAGCAACATGCTCAACCCTGGAAACTTACAATCAGCACTCCTGCAGCTCTCCAGCACGAATCGCAAACGGAAAAGAATTGAAGAAGCAATGCCCCTTTAAAATGGGCCTTATTCAAGAGGCCGCTTTATACTCTTGCAAACCTTTTCTATAATACCTTTTTTGTCCCTTCTTTTGTCTAATGTGCAACTGATTCTGCCGGCCCATCTCGCCTCCACTGGCCCCTCAAGCTTCACTGGCGCCACCAACTTCTCCCTCTCGCCATCTGGGGCGTTGAGGCCGACTGCCTGGCAAAATCCATCGGACATCTCTTGTTACTACTAGCTTCTTGTTACTAGTAGTAAGGCACCTGTTACTACTAGCGATGCACTTGTTACTACTTACTTCCTTTTAAGCCCGGGGTAGGCCGCTAGTAGAGGGAAGAGGTAGTAGTAGCTAGGGAGAAGCTAGTAGCTTAAGTAGCTACTACCTAGGACGCAGGATAGCTCACGCTTCCTTGAAGAAGCACTCGCAGTATTCATTTGGTTCCTGGGTTTTTAGGGAAACTTTATGTGGCTAAAAAGTATATAAGTAGCTAGCTAGTGGGCTAAGCAGCTAGTAGGAGACCGTCAGGAAGCTACTAGTAGCTGGCATGCAAAAGAGCCCTGGCTTCTTCACGTAAGAATCCTTCGCACGATTGATTTGATTCCTAGATTGGGGAAACTTGACAGTTGGTATTTCGGTGGAGCCTTGTTCGAACCTGTTGATGAACACTCATTTCAACCGGTCGAACGTTTGGTGACATGATGCAAAACCTCCGGCTGCTTGGTGCCTCCCATCTGCGATTCTGTGCCGGTGGCTGCAACTCCAACGACTTTACACCTGAAGGTGACGGACAGGTAGAGACACGAAGGCAAACAGCCACCCTTCAACCAACATGGATAGGGCTCTCGAGGCATGTGCCTTCAAAACATTTCTTGACGTGCTTTTGAACTTGCTCAGGATCGCGAGCCTGCGTGGCATTTACGACATCGGCAAAAGTCGACTTCACTGCAACTTAAATGCAAAAAGGCCTGGCCCAAAATCTCAAGCAGGTCATCATTGGAAATGAAGTAGAAGCGAGGAAAGAACTGCCCTGAATGCAATTCCAGTCGTGCAGTGTCCCGACTCCAAATGAATTTTCAACGCAGCAAATGTTGCAGTGCCACTACTTAAGCAAACTAGCACGCTACTTGTAAGGCTCGAGCGTTTCTTCTCCAAGTAGTCGTTAAGCTTCTTTTGAATATTTTCCTGAAAAACACGCTACATACATACAAACTGACAAACCAGAACTTGCGGAATCCTTCCTCGGCTTTTGACAAAAGGCTGCTTAGAGCCAGCTTGGAACTGTGGAGCAGGGCGGAGACGAAGTATCAGCGATCCAGGCTATCTATTTGCCATCCATGGCTCCAAAGAGGCCTCGAATGACTGCAGGTTCCTCAGCACGAAGCAGCAAGCCCGCAAAGCACCTAAAGAGCCTAAAGAGCCAATGTCCGCACCAAAAGCACACACATACACACACACTTGGGAAATTCCTACGGTACTGCTTTGCGGTTTGCCATCCGCCAGCCTAAGTAGAAAAGCTAAGAAGGCAGGACAAGGGCGAAGTAAGGTGGTCTGAACATCTTCAAAGTCTCAAGAACCCCCAAGTCCAACGTCGAGAATTCCAAGGAAAGCGACAAATTGATGCGTCTGCAGAGCTCAAACTGATGCAATGGCCAGTCACTTGTTCTAGTGACAAACGGGCCCAGGAGGAAATTAATGGTGACCACTGCAGGTACGTCATCAGGCGTCCCTGATGATATCCCAGGAGCGTATGAGGAGCTTCGTTGGATGGAGCCTCATAATGCCATACGTCCTCTCCATCCCCCTGCAACAAGACCGAAAGGTCCCCTCTGCAGCCAAGGGTGTCACACATACACACTTCGACATTGGTTTTCAGTTAACTCAATTGGCAGGGAAAATGGTGATGGAACGGCATGGTGAAAAGTCCGCAAAAGTGGAGATGTTTGAACAAAAGGTTTATGAGCGTCTGCTGAACGTCTGCTGCAGGTCGGGGGTGGGAAAAGGGTTTGGGGGCAGTATCATGAACAACCATGGAAGACCACGGAAGCAACAAGCCGAATTGGACAGCGTGGTCAACAGTTGCTCAGCAGGTACAAGTGGTTGATCAGACCACTCATCCACCGAAAAGCCATAGCTTCGTTGGACTGGATAGGCAAATCGGCTCCAGTCCCCCTGCGTGCAGAAACCCTTCGAAACAGGGCTTGACACACACACGGTGCCGCTTGGCGGCGCTCGTGTGAGAAACCTGAATAGATACCTAAAAAGCCTTAGAAACGAAAGAAAGAAAGACAGAAAGAGCAGCGCTAAGAGGGCAAGAGAGAAAGATAGGTGTAGAAACATGAAAAGGTGAATACTTGGCCCTTGACTGGGGTAGGGAAACGAACCTCAAGAACCACCTAAAAAGCCTGAAAGAAAGCCCAACAAACGACGAAAAACGCAAGAAGGAAAGCGGGGGGCAGGGAGGGGGTGTATGTCCATGTGTGTGTACGTGTGTGTGTTTGAATACCTAGCACTCTAGAATTACAGAATACTTAGACGAAGTGAATTAGGTGCACTAGTTAGGGAGCGGGACTTTAGTCTTAAACCGCCCGGGTAGAGTAGACTAGAAAAGGGACAACAGAGGGAAAGGCACCGACACACAAGTGTGTCGAGTACCATTTCCCTATTTTATCCTAATTAGGTAGGGAGTAGAACGCGGTGGGGGGGGGGGGTCAGGAGGCCTGCCTCAAGGGGGGGGGGGGGGGAAAAGGAAGGGGGAGGAGGAGGGAGGACAAAAAACGTTTTTAAGCCCGGCGGCTAGCAAATTCGTTTTATAGCCCGACGGCTGTATGAGCAGTAAATTCAGGGTAGAGAAAGATCGATGAAGGTAAGTCAGTGGAGGAGAAGAGTCAGTGGCTCAATTTCCAGTATGAAAAACCCAGCACCCATGTGGGACGGCTGAGCGGCTCACACTTCGACATTGGTTTTCAGTTAACTCAATTGCCAGGGAAAATGGTGATGGAACGGCATGGTGAAAAGTCCGCAAAAGTGGAGATGTTTGAACAAAAGGTTTATGAGCGTCTGCTGAACGTCTGCTGCAGGTCGGCGGTGGGAAAAGGGTTTGGGGGCAGTATCATGAACAACCACGGAAGCAACAAGCCGAATTGGACAGCGTGGCCAACAGTTGCTCAGCAGGTACAAGTGGTTGATCAGACCACTCAATCCACCGAAATGCCATAGCTTCGTTGGACTGGATAGGCAAATCGGCTCCAGTCCCCCTGCATGCAAAAACCCTTCGAAACAGGGCTTGACACACACACACACACAGGGGATGGGGATATGTCTCAACATCTGCGCAAGATTTTGCAAGGGCACTCTAGCATCTTCGGCTGCGTGCATGCTTTTGTTGCCAATGGCTCTTGATAAACTTTCCTGTCAAAAAAACGAAAGAGCACTTCAGTGTCTGGAAGCATCTTCTTGAAATGATTCACCTTGTAACATTGTACATAATTATCTCGGCTATGGTTGGATCTTTCATCTTCAATGTACAGCTTCAAGTCTCTTGTTCAAACAACAGTCCAAAGCGGTGTATGAGAGAGAAGCAACCAAATCGGCCTCATCATGTTGATGAATCCTTCGTTCACATCGTCGAACATAATGGACTCATCGGGCAAGTGAGGTCGAATATCTTCCGAGCCACGGAAGACGTTCTCCAAGTACCTGTCTTGCACAGCACAAGGGAGCATAAATTGATCTGCAAACCGGAAAAGCAAAAACCAAGCCAAAGCGGAAGAATAAGGAACGGGGCAACATGAGGCAACCACATACTTCATAAATGTGTTTCAACAACAGCCTCAAAAGTCTTCTCAGGCTGAGTTGCATCCAGGACTTCTGAACTGACTGAATGGATTCAGTAACTTCTGAAATGTGAGCCAAGGTCTTCTCCCAGTATTCCACCTGGCAGCTTCAACATATGGACTTTTGAGCTTTTACTATTTCCTATTGCCGTGACGTCTTGGCGCCTTTGGCGCGAAAGGCAAATAGAAGGGAGAGCCTCAGATCAAAACCCATTCAGGCTTTTTCGGCCCGACCACTGGACCCAATGGAACATACATGAACATACCATCGTTGGCATATCTGAGGTCTCAACTCTTGTAGGAGGACAAGGCCTGGATGTTCTCATCCAGTGCCTGAAGTCCATGAGCTTTGGAGAAGTCTGCAACAAACCTTCAACAAGTGCTGTGGCTTCCCTTCATGTCAGGTGGTGCAGGATTTCTTCCTTCAGCAGTGTCATTGTTCCAAGTGCTTCATAGTATAAACTTCAACCAAGAACATGGACGCTACTAGGGGCTCCTGGCCGTACTACTAGGGGCAAGGACGCTACTAGGGGCTCCCGGCCATACTAGTAGGAACAAGAAGCTATTAGAAACAAGAATGTGCACTTTTGCCCCCTGGGTGCCTGGTAAAGCTCCTCCGTGCTTCGTACTTTGAACCTGAGTGCAAAGAGACAGGTGCACGGCGCAGTGATGCAAACCGCAGTGTTTAGAGACCAATACTAATTAATCCAATACTGCAATCACACTCATGCAAACTACCAGTAGCATGATCGCAGCTTACCCGGGCTTGGACATCATGATTGGATTTCCTCATCCGGCTGCCTTCGAGAGTCCATTTTAGAAACCATTCGCAGAAACCTGAACATTAATGTGCGCACTGCTTTGTGCTCCCTTTGTTCATCACTGGTCTCATGTGTTCGCCAGTCCACGCGTCTCCCTTGTGCTCCACAACATCGATGGTCATGGTGGACCAAATCCTGGTCACGCCGTGAGAATTTACCAGTACATGGTGCCTCAAAGTGTACGTTATATTCACATTCCATAGCCAACAAAAGATCCTATTAGTTCTCAACCATCCCCATACTCAATGATTCTTTGACTCAGGGCGGCAAAGCTTGTGACTCAACACTCAGGCAGTTTGGGTTGGGTCCAAATTGGCACTCCAGAGTTACCCTGCTCAAAGCTAAACATGGCAAACAGGCCTCCACACCTTTTGCATGTCATGCAGCCCTGGTGCCTGGCAATGTCTTCCAAGCCGTTCTCGATCTTCGCCTCTTTCTTCGCATCGTCACACAATCGAGCAATCAGGTCAGCCTTAGCCAACGTGAATAATTCCGCAAGAATGGTCAAACCATCACAAGTACATTCCGGGAGTATGAAAAAACGATGCCTCTGTTCCACCCGGGTGCATAGTTGCATGCGCAACGGAACCCAAATCAAGCATTTGGTTGGTGTTGCAGGATGCTGCGGGTTTGCAACGAAAGGGTATGTGAAAAAGTGAGGTAGAATCAAGGTTTTGGGCCACAACCAACGAAGGACATGTCGGTGCGGGAAGAAGCCATCGGGTCCAAATTCAATGGGAGGGAGATTGAGATGAAGAGCGACCCCAAGAGTTTGACATGAGAATTGGTCTATTCTTCCATATCATCATCTATAGGAAGAACCTCAAAGTTTCTTACACACAAAACTTGCCAGCAGCAGGGAGAGAAGCATGCTTTTGAAGGCCCAAATCCATGACGCGTTGGAGAGTGAAGCCAGCGTCTTTTGGATTGAATGCCTCCTGAGTCAGGAACAGGGCCTACGCACCCTTAATTGACCGCAAGTTTTGGACAACACTATCGGCTGGTGTCTCTCAAAAAGGGGAACACTGCAAAGACTTCTGGCAATTTTTGACAGCAAAAGAGGGGCGGGCTGACCTGCTTCTTACGCTAAAGGGGCCTTGGAGCTTCCTAAGGCAGCCTGTGTCAGTGATTTGACCGTTGCAGGCCTGACCGGATGTCAAATGCATGGGTCCTATGTAAATGCAGGTGCACGGTCAGATTCAAGACAACCCCCAAACAGAGTGACCTATGGCAACAAGAAAAGTAGTCCAGAACCCATTACTTGGGAGTCCTGATATACATCCACCCACCTTGAAATCTAATGGAACAAACCCACAGTACCGTCCAAAGTGATAAGTTTCCCAAGCAATTTGGTTTACACGTACTACGTACCATTACATTCGTAACATGCATCAGTCTTTTTTTTCGTAACATTTTTTTTTCAATTCATCCTTCGATTCTCCCGCCTTCACTTCTTTCACAATCGCTTCAATATGTCGCTCGCGCATGGCATCAGAACGCAAATGTGTGATGACAGGCATCCTCACATGCAGGTATTGCAAAGAAACAAAACATGTGCGTGGGCCACTCGTGAGAGCAAACTTCTGTAGATAAATCCATCATGTCCAGAGTCTTATATAAATGTAAATGCTACTGTTCAAGCCCCTTGTGGGAAACCCACATAGCTCAGAAGAACCCTGGTAACAGGGACCACAAAATACTACTCAAGTCAATGAAAGCGTCATGTTGCGGAAGACTTCGAGATCAGACTTCAGGTCTTGATATACTTGCCAGTTCTGCACATTCTTGTCCTTTCCAATGACCTGCAAAGAGATAGATGACATGGTATTCGTCAACTCAACCTTTTCTGTTGCACATTCCAGTTCTTAGTTAGTTCTTACTCTTTTTCCCGCAAGCAGCTTTGCTGTGAGGGATTCTCAATTCTTGCTTAGACACGAGCCTGGGCCAAGATGATTTGTTGCCTTTTGTTTCATTTTGTATCCCTGTCTCTCCCATGGCTCTTCTTGGTTGCTGTTTTTTTGGATGCTGGCTGAGATGATTCTACTTTGTCTCCGTGGGTCTACCTTTGTCCTGCATAGTTCTGCTGGTGGTGGGTTGAGATGATTTGCTTGTACCCCTCCCCTTGTCTGTCATGGCTCTTCTTGATGCTGGGCTGAGACGATTTGCTTGTCTCCCTTTGTCGTCATGGCTCTTCTGGATTGTGGGCTGAGATGATTCTGCTCCCTTTGCTTACCTTGTCTGAATGCTGGGCTGAAATGATCACTGCTTTGTCTCCCTTCGTCTCCCGGGGCTCTTGTTCTTGGATCTTCAAACCACATCTTTCATTTTTCAGGTAGGGAATGACCCGGTTTGACAGGTATGCTTTTGGTTGACTGGGGTTGGGCACTGCAACTGCAAGCCACGTTCGCCAAGAATATCAAGCTGCTGCTGCTGCTGTTTGGGGTCGCTGGTCCAGTGTGTTTGCAAAGAATTCAGATGTCCTGTTAGGTGTGGAAACAAATCACTGCGTCTTTGATGCTACCAATCTCCAAGCCTTCCGAAGTTTACCAAGGAATTGCATAGCCAACTCATCCATGTCGTCTGTGTTCCTGAGCAAAGAACAGCAACCTCCAATTTGGGTAAAGTTAAAGAGCAATGCACAGTTCTGTGTCCATCATCGTTTGTCACTTGTCTAAAGTGCAAGGCTGAGACTCAGAGACTGGAAGCTTCCAGATCGAAGTTTGTCCCATTCCTTGTTCCAGCCATCTCGAATGTCCCAAACCATCGTGAGCTTCTCAATCTCCTGTTCCACCCATTCCAACTCCTTGTAGTTGGCTGGCTCTATCCCAAAGAGCTCTTGCTTCGGTCGGAATTCAGCTTCCAGCTTCCTCTTTGCTTCAATCTGGTTACGGTAGTTTTGTAGCATCGAGGCGGCCGTTTCAGGAGTCAGGCCCTCGCTCTTGTATGGTGCGTGGCGGCCGAAATCCTGAGTTTGGAATGCTCCCAGTGGAGTAGAATCACCCATCAAACATAGAATGAGCAAAACAGCAAAACAATCATATTATAGCGACCTATCGCCCCTGTCGGGCCCCTCCGGCTGGATGGATGAACCAAGTCAGCAAACACAGCAGTCTCCATAGACGAACTTCCAAAATGCGCAACTGAATCCCGTCTCGCCCCAAAGGCCAGGCTCCTTGCTGCCTAAGGCTCTGTCTTGACATCCCGGATGCTCTGCCCAAAGCTTCCAAGATCTTGCTCGAGGCCTGCCTTCATCTGCTTCTTGGATTTGCCTCGGCTCAGTTTCAGCGAAGAACCAAGTCCCGGTGGAAGTCAAGAGCACAGGAGCGAGGACGCTACTAGTAGCAAAGGGCATCGCTAGGAGCAAGGGCGCTACTACTAGGAACAAGGACGCTACTAGGAGCAAAGCGCATCGCTAGTAGCTAAACCAGGCCTCATCACAAGAGCATCACATGTCAAGATTCGACAGCGAACTGACATGCCCGAAGCACAGTCAGCATACCGCTGCTACTCCATATACAACTGTAGAGAGTGTAAAGCACGTTCTGATATACCAATTCCCACGTACCCCAAACGTTCCAAGCCACGTTGAGGACATGTATCCAAAGAAGACCATACGCTGAGACAAATGTCTAGATCTTACTCAAACCCAACTATGATGAGTCTCGAGTGAACAGGTTGTTTTGATGAGTTCGGGTTTGGAGCCTTCAGGGCCCTGGTTGTACGGCCCGACCTGATAGGTGCCAATGACTGCCAAGCCCCTAGCCAGTGAGATTTGGAAGCATGATGAGTGAGCTTTCTGCAAATTGCATCGTTTTGAGGAGTAGAAAGTCTTGACATGTCTTGACACCCGCTGTCTGTGTGCAAGGGGCTGATGCGAATCTCTGCTTCTACCAGAGTCTCCTTAGATTTGATATGCTTGGACTGGAACATCTCTAAAGATTCAATCTTTGTTCCTTCTGTCCTGTCGAGTTCCACAACAGTGAGAGGTCAACAAAAGTACAACAGCAATATATATTATATAACTTCTCACACACTTGTTTCTTCATGCTGGCTGGCGGGTACACACGGGCCATCTGGCCAAAAGTGGCTCCCAGGAGCAGGCGTTTAAGCCGCGCGGGAGGGCGCGGTGGGAGGCTTGGAGCCATCAACCGCACATTCGAAGTTACACAGCAACTTCTCACGCACTTGTTTCTTCATGCTGGCTGGCGGGTGCACACGGGCCATCTGGCCAAAAGTGGCTCCTTCACCACCCATCTGCTTCAAATCAGGGCCCAACTCTTTCAGCTCCAAAGCCTTCGCGGCTTGAAACGCCAAAACTGGCCACGCTGCATCCGGAATGGCCGCTGCTCTCCATTCCATACATAGGGCTACAATCCAGTCAAAAACCGCCATGCCGTGCGTGATCTTGTCCTTTGCTTGTTGCGGTAGCTTTGGCATGAACTGTATGGCCCAAGCTTCTTGGACATAGATCTCCATGACTTTTGACGTGACCCAACGGCCACGTCGCCTCGTGAGCTCCGAGTCCTCGCTAACCAACAGGAGCCTCCGGCTCTCAATGAGCCGAGATCAATGCCTCGGCTGACGCCTCTTGGCATCTGATCGCGGGAGTTCGCGACCAGGAGCTTTTGTCACCTCAGTCTCTTCGTCTGGGCTGAAGCTGGGCAGAGCCTCTGATCGGGCCTCAGGTGGCCAAATGCCAAGGCTGCCAAGGTGACCGCCCTCAACAACTGTGGCTGATCCAGCCGGGCCACCTGGTGGCGTGCTGCTTTGTACCTTGTCTTGGGTTCAGCTATCTGCAGGAGGGCATAGTTGGTCGTCCACTCAACGTCCTGCGGCAGGACCAAGTCCCGGCGGAACGAAGAAAGGGCTTCTCCGATTCGGGTGAGTCCACCCCATGAAAGGGCTATCACTCCAGCTACCCGACTCCACCCCCACATCAGTGAGGTGGAGATGAGGCTCAAAAGAGCCTGCCATGGTAGTGCCAGGTGGTGAGGTGGCTCTTGCCTCAGCCACGTGTACGCCAGATGGCTGCAAGGAGGCGAACGCGGGGCCTCTTTGCAGCGACTCCGTTGATGAGCTCACTGTAATGTCCATATGGACGCCCTGCTCGGTACAGCTCACGGCCGAACTTTTCCAACATAATGTTGATCATTTCCACATCAGGGTCCACGACCATGACCAACTCCTCAAAAGAAATACCATGGCCTCCAAGCCAAAGTGTAAAATCTTCGAGAAGCCGGTTCTGTTTCTGAGTGGCAGGCAGGGCTGGTCTTCCTTTAGGCAGCTCGAGGCTATCACGTCCCTGGGCTCGCACCCGGTCAGCTTGATTCCTTGGAATCAATCCAATGCCATGACTCGGTACGGGCGCCGCGGTGACTTGGGGTAGTGCCATACCAACCCAAAAAAAGACCAAAATCTTGAGGGGACCGCCGAAGGGCCAGGGCACACATGGTGTGCACCGGCCGTCCCTTCTTCAGAGCAAGAGCCTGAAAACCATGATGTGGTGCAATGCCTTGGCCATGAAATCCATCGAGCAACAGCGCGCAGAGAAAGGTGCAGGCAAGGAAAAAGCCAAAAGCAAAAGCGACAGCCAGGCATCAATCCATAACAGAAATCCGAACAGCCCAAGTCCAGGGCCCTCTCCGGGGAATCCAAAGGTCTGGTCAAAGTACATTGAAGTCCAAGTTCCTTGGCGTGCCAAGCCAGAAGGATAACTTCTGTAGTTCACATGTGAGAAGCGCCAAGACGAGACATCGTTGAACCAGGGAGGGACCCTCCTAAGCAGAAGCATCAGAAGCCTGACCCAGTTCGATGCAAAACGCTTCAATGCCCTGACACGGCCGAAACCCAAGAGATCATTGAGAGCGCTTTCCTCAGGCACACAGCTACTGCAAGGTTCAGGAAGCTCATTGTCTCGGGTGGGATGATCAGCAGGTAGAATCGGGGTAGGCCCGAAATGAAGGGAAGGATACTGCAGCCGGAAGGATACAAGCAGCCTGCAATCAAAGTAGCTCCTGCCCTTCTCAGACACTTCCTCAAGCCTTTTGAAGGAGATCTGCCCTTCACCAACGCGGAGAGGCTGACATTGGAATCCATGAAGAGAGGAAACCTTGTCTTTGGTCTTGAAGCTGCCTCTTGCTTGAACAATCTCTCTGCAGCCATCGTCTCTTGGATGTTGATGTGTGCTGGTTTCTGCCACCTCCACACTTGCTCAAGCTTCCACTGCCGAGAGAGGATAACATCGTTAACCAAGACATTCTCAAGGCCATCCACCTCCAAATCTTTGTACATCTCAGTCCTCAGCTTGAGGTTCAAAGCTTGATGGAATGCCTCGCTTAAACCTTCAGCGAATGCGTCAGTATATGTAGCGGAAGTCCCTGGATGGGAATATGATCACGCAGACCATCGCGCTTGTGGTGTAGCTTCTCAGCCTGCATCGAGACCAGCAGGAACACAAACTCCTTTTTGCGTGGAGAGCCGTACATGCATGAGGCCGTCCAAACTTCGTGCGCCCGGCCCAAATCAAGCAGTCTCTGCCACTCCTCAAGCCTGCGCATCTTTGATCTCCTGGGTTGTTCAAGCAGTCCTGGAACACTAAGCTGTGCAGCCAGAGACATCAAGGTTAATGCCCTTAGTGCAAGAGTGGTTCCCAGCAAAGTCTTTGGATCACTGGGGTCGAAGAGCAGGGCTGAATGTAGTGCATGGAGGCTCAACCATGAAGGAGTCAAGTCTACCATCTTCAATCATGAAGAAGATCCATGGAAGCAACCTGAGGCTAGCCAAATCATAACGAGGCGACCGGTCAATGTCAAGGACAGGTCCCACGGTCCATCCTCTTGAAGAGAGCCCTGCAGCAACGTTTCCAGCTCCACCACAGATCTCGACGAAGTGGAACCTGAACGCTCTTGGCCTTTCAGCAAGAAACTGCATGTCTGGGTGCTCTTCTTCCTCCTCGTAGTCATAGTCTATCTTTTTGAGAATAGCCTCATGACGGCTGAGCATCCTCGTGTAGGTTGCTTTCTTTCTTCCAGTTCTTGTCAGAGCGCGTGCCCAATCCTCTTCCAGCTCACAGGATACAATGGCCCCCTTGCTGTCGGAGGAGTCTGTGCAGAAGCATCTACGCTGGACTTTTGCTGACAGATCCGTAGCAAAGAATGGGCATAGAACAGGCAGCATGACCAACTCCTCTGCGACCCCACGACTAAGAGGAACGATGCGAGGTGAGTCCTGAGCAACTTCTGAAGGGGCATTCCGAAACAGCGCTGCGCTATGCTCATAGCCGGTCTGCGGTAGAGGAGAGCATGAACCCACCCTCCAAGAAGGCAAGCGTGAAGAGCATCTGTAGTCCATTTGCTGGTGCTCAGTGCCGAAGAAATGAAAGCAAGCGCAAGCCTCTTCTGAGCAGGAGCTGCCACTGTAGTCAGTCCAAGGTTCCGGGTACATGAACTTGAATCAAACTCTGCTCCACTGACCTTTGCTTTGCAAGCGTCACGCACATCCTTCTGCGGTGACCCAAGGAGGCCCTCCGCCTCATAAGCAGCCTGAGCTTTGACCAACTGAGCAACTGCCAAAGGGCGATCATGTAGAAGGTCTTCTCCTGGAGAATGAGCAGGCAAACTTGCTTTCTCTATCGAGATGGCGTAGAAGTCATCTATAACTAGTCCTGTGGCAAGGTCACGGCCTCGGAAGGGGCTGCCAGCGCGGAGTTCATTGTCGTCGGCTAACAAATCCCAGCTCCTGAGGAAGTTCCGATGACCCTCTGTAGCAACCTCCACGCCCAAATGATCTCCTTGAGGCACACTGGCAAAGCAGGCTTGTAAAGTCTCCCTGGTCATGCGTTTTGAGCTGGGCTTCTTTCCACCTGTCCTCAGGAAGTCACCCTGTAGGAGTCTGTCATACTTTTTCTTGCCACCATCACGGATGACCCATCTCTTAGTCTTGAAGGCTTCCGTCCCCTCGACGTCGGAGACATTGAGCGGGCCACAAGCCATTCGAGGCGGCTCTCTGTGGGGAAACCTGAATCTGATGGTAGAAGTCCTTGCGATCTGAGCAACATATAGACAATCTCTGCAGAGGCACGTCAACTTCCAAGTCCATGAAGCTCTGAGCCGAGGGCAAGCCAGCAGATACTGCCGCCAATCTTCCTTCAACATAGTTGCGAGCCCGACGGTCTCCGATCATACGGTCGACCTCACTGTTCTTGTAATGATTGAAGAAGCGCGTGGCATGTGAAGCATCAAACCGGCTCTCTGTAGGCGATCGCAATGACAATAGCCCATTCGCATCCCAAAGAAGGGCAAGCTCCTTCACCTTTGCGTAATTCTCACGTCCAAGATCAGGTCGATCTTGAAGCCTCCTCTGTAGAAGTCCAGAGTAGGCTATCTGGCTCAACAAAAGCAAGCCACAGCATGTCCGATAGGTAGCTCTCTGGGTTCCAAGATGCAGTATCCGAGAGCTTCAGTCTTGAAGGGTCCAAAGCACGGAAGGGCTGGAGTTCCTCAGCTCTAGTCATGTCTCGAGGGACTTCTTTCCCAAAAAAACCTTCCTCTGCACCTTGAAAGGCACGGGTATAGGCCTCACCACCTCCAAGCCCCTCCCACGTAGCAAAATCGGAGAGGTCAGCAAGCAGCGAAGTCAAAGTAGTCATTCTACGGCCGCTCTGTGGAATTTTGAAAGATTCTCCAGAGCTACCGAAGGCCTTCAACATCTTTCTCAGATTGTCCATAGCCACCAACTGAGTGTCGAAGAAGGAATCCTGCATAGTGACTCAACAGGAATAGGCGAGAAGTCGGAGTGGAGGAAGTTCAAGGCCATCAAACAAATGTGAAGTGCCTGATCAAAAGCCCTCCTCCTCCGAGCTCTGCTGCCCATCTTCTTTGCTTGAAAAACACCCAGCTTTGGTATAGGCAATGGGAACAAAGCCTTTGAAGGAGAATCGAGCCTCCTTTCAGCATGAAGAGTAGTCCTCAAGAACCTCGCAAAGGATGTCCTTGACTTCAGCACACAAGAGCAGAGTGAAGACGACCACGTATGGAATAGGTCGCCTCTCCCAAGCCATTGCTGTAGAAGATGTAAAGGGCGCTGATCCATCAAACCAATCTGTACCACGACCATCATCGACATCTGCAGGGCCCCGGCAGAGCGAAGCTCCGGAACAAGGGGCTGTGCTGGAATCGTAGTGCGTGTCGTACTGCCCAGCAGGTATAGTTCATCAACATCCATCACAAAGATCTCCTCTTGTTCGAGGGGTTCATTCATGAGGCTTGATCCCCACCTTGCTTCGGTTTCTTCGGAAGCTTGGGCTGCCTTTTCTTTGGGTTGTCTGCTGTCTGCTGAGGATCCTTCGGAGTAGCTATTCGTGAGGGAATTGCCTCTTGCCTTCGATTGTTGATGATGTCGATCTCCTTGACAAAAGATAGGGCGATGGTTGCCCATTCCGGCGGGCACAGAGGTCCAGCCCGGAGTCGAGGATTTGTTGAAGTCAAGGCCTTCCACTCCAGGTACTTCGAGAAGACTGCCTTGCCCCCAAAGTCTTCGATGGTCTTCGGAAGAGGGTCGGTGGGCTTCAATCTTCGAAAAGCATTCTGAGCAACCTTCAGTCAACAAGAAGTTCCCCTTTCTGAGAAACAGGTCGTGGAAGAGCTTCTCTCGCTTTGCAGAACCCTTCAGGGAGAGGGCCGTCGACGAGCTTGCCGTAGTAAGATCCTGCAGGCTGTCTTGTCCAACAAGATGTGCCACCAGAGTTGTCAGAGCTTGTGACTGTCTCATGATAGCTTCTGGCATTCCTTGAGGCACGGCATCGGAGGGAGCTGCAGCCAGCTGTAGCGGAAGGCCTTGCTTGATCTTGAAGGTGCCGTACTCGAGGCGGGCTTCCTATCTCTTGCATGAACTGCAGAGTCAGAGGTGAGGTTCTCTTCAAAGCCGATGGTCTTTCGAAGTTCTGACGATATGCTGGAGTCGGCGCAGCCGGTTGATTGCCACCTGAGGTCAACAAAGCTTCGACCTTGTTCTGCCTCGGCCATAGCATCGAGACGAGTTGAAATAGCCGGGGGCAGCAGGCGGTTGGGTCGGCTCCTCTGCAGAGTAGAACTGTGTCCGGCCCTCGGCCCCCTCTTCCAACCAAGTGTAAGCCGCTAGCAGCAGGGAACTCGATTCGGGCAACACACCGGACCTGAAGGCGAGAAAAGCAGGATCCCTGGCTTCTGTCACAGGGTCGAAGCCTCTGACATAGTCCTCGATGGAGATATGGAAGTCCACTAGCAGCACCTCCATGTCCTGATCGGTAGGTGTTTCCGTGCCATCTGCTTCCTCCAACACAACTGGAACAGTCACCAGGTTCGAAGGGCCTATCAAGTCCTCTGGTGAGGCTGTCATGCCTGCAAGAAGCATTGGTTCCGGAATCGCTCCTGAAGGTAGTGCAAACAAGGCGCAGGTGCGGCGATGCATCAAAGGGATTGCAAACATCTCCTGAGGAACTGGAGCCGCAGCGCTGCCCACGTTGAGAGTCAGCACATGAACCATGTACACCCTCCATCCAAAGACTTCACATTGTCCGCCATCACTGTCGATCCGAGGGTTCAGGAAAACTGTAGCCAGCTGCAAGGCAGTAGACTTGTGCTTCACACTGTGATGGGAAGGAATGACTGACAGAATCCTTGAACTTGGGCAGGAGCTTGAAGTACTCTGCGGCAGAGCTGACCCTGACAGGACGAGTGATTCCGGGTCCCTTGAGGATGATGTACACGGTGGCCTGAAGTCCAAGCTTATCAAGCTTTGGCGAAGGCCGGGGCTTTGAGACTCTTCCGTCCAGCGTAGCTCGTGCCCAGCAACCTGCCAACCAAGCCCGGGATGCTCTGGAGCGCACCTCCTCAGGAGTGCCAGAAAGCCGACGGCACAGATCCACACAATGCTCAGGAAGAGTCGGGAAGCTATTGGAGACCTCGTGGTAGCCACCTGACACAAGGGCCGAAGGCCCAGGAAGATCACGTACAAGATGTCCTGCGAGAGAATCCAAATGGGTGATCAGGTCCCAATCCACAGTATTAACTGTGTCGGATGAGATGGCAGGAGTGCCAGAGACAGGACGACCCTCAGCCCGATCAGCGGCCTGGTCCAGAGATGCAGCAAGGCCACGAAGAGCACGAGCAACACCACGCACAGCCTCAATCAAGATGATGGTGGTGGTGGGAGCGCTCATGCAGGTACGCCTGGAGGCGTGCCAAGGGAGCAGGAGAGCTAGATCGATGAAGTGGAGGTGCCACAGGAGATGTGACTTGACCTGAAATCCAAGAGAGCCAGGCAAACAAACCAATGGCCAAAAGTCCACCAGTCGAAAGGCCTGCAAGGAAAATGGCAAGCAAATACGGCCACGAAGCGCCGCAATGAGCCGGACAGGAAAGTCCAAGCCAACCAGTGGCACTACCCCAACTCACAAATCGGATCAGATCTCCGATCCAAGGAGGCATACAGGCTTGGAGCCATCAACCGCACATTCGAAGTTACACAGCATATGTATATATATATATTGTATGTATATATGTCACTGTGGAGCAAAACAACTTCTAGGTTGGAGGCGATTGCTCTTAGGTTGGAGGCGATCGCTACTAGGGTGGAGGCCATTGCTTCTAGATCTTTCCTTATTCTTCTTTATTAAGTAGCTTCTTGCTCCTAGTAGTAAGGCCAGGAGCCCCTAGTAGCGTCCTTGCTCCTATTAGCGATGCCAGGAGCCCCTAGTAGCTTCTTTAAGTTTGTGGAGAAACTAAACTCCAAGTCTCCCGGAAGGTCTCCATCTGTGGCCGCATTTGTGCCTTCCGCTGCAGTTCCTCATCAGAGGGCACCACCTGTCCAACTGGACGCTGACACCCGGAAATCGCGAGGCCTGGTGAGCCTACTCCCCGCACAAAATTGATGTCCCAGAAAAGTGAAAAAATGATGATTTCAGCAAATGGTGAGACATTTTGCATAAAAGGGCTATTTGTTGGTGGAAGCAACGCTGTAAAGGGTATGAGTCCAAGGCCTCTGATCCAAAGCCTAAGGTCTCGTGGAGGACTGGCCTCCCCCACCCCAGGGGCCGCAAGAGTCTGGGAACTTGGTGTGGCCCTTTCAAGGCTTCACCATACGTCGTGCCGTATGTGTGAGGTTGATTCAATATTGATGAAGTAGTGCAATTTTGTGGCAAAGAATTTGCCGAGGGTGGTGGTGATACATTGTTGAGTGAAGTCCTGATTGCTGACCTGTCCAATCAACCCATCCATTTGTGCAAAGGGGGGCAACTTGTTGGTGCTATATGGTTCGAAGCCAACCACCTTCTTCTCTGACAAGCAGGTTGCCATCATCGCAAAACCCTATAAAATTTGTGGATATAGAGCGAAAATCACTATTTTTGGGTGCGTTCAGTGGTTGAGAACAAGCTCAAATGTGGCTTACAAAGAAGGTTGATCTGTTTGAAATTGATGCCTACCCAAGGGTGATACAAACATTGGGAGTGAACACCATTCTCATCCAATGTCTGGCTCCGTTGAACACGATGCTGAGTGGAGCCATTCATTTAGAAGGAGTCGGAATTATTGGACTGGTGACTAGTGATTGACCTCTCTATCAGTGCGAGATTCAGATCAATCTGATTGCGACGATGAACCTTCCATGCCAATCATGGTCTAAGGCAAACTTAAACCAAAAATGGCTGGGCATTCAGTGATGAGCCGGTGAACCGATCTTAGCTTTTGGTTGTGATGAACGGGAATCAGAAGAATCTCACTGCTCTTCACCTAACCCCAAAACCACCAGCAGAAAACCTTATCGACAAAATGATTTGTTTCCAGCTCCCGAAGGGGGTCCCTTATCAACATCCCATACTAGCTTTTTGTTACTACTAGTAACAGGTGCCACGCTAGTAGTAACAAGTGCCTTACTACTAGTAACAAAAAAGCTATTAGAATAGAAATAAAAACAATTAAATGGTTTCTACTAGCTTTTTGTTACTACTAGTAAGGCACCTGTTACTACTAGTAAGGCACTTGTTTCTACTAGCTTTTTGTTACATAAACATCCCATTCATGACCCCACAAACTACATAATTTGGCCGCATCCCAGTGGGGAAAAAACACCTATCCTTCTTTCCCTCTCGTTATCCTTCCTGATCGATTCTTCAACCGCATATATAGGTCCTTTTCTTCATGTTCTCATGCTTTATGTTTTCCGAATCTTCTGAGCTTCATCAAGCTCCTCCAACAAACCCTTATGCATTTACTTTCTCTTCCTCATGCCTGTCAGCTTCATCAAACTCATCCCCACTCCAAGAAATCTGAGGGATTCACCTTCCTTTCATCCCTCCACTAGTCATCATTATTCCTCATTTGCCCCTCATGCTCTTGCAATTCCTTCCTGATGCACTGCAATACATATAGCATACGTTGATCTCACAAACAGCATCTTTGCAACAGGAAGCCTAACATGAAGCGAGTAGTCTGTGGGCTCCCTCCTCATGAAGAGATTTAATACGATCTAATCTTGGGGATCTCTCCAAATGATAAGGATTCGTCTTTGGGAATCCTCCTCGTCATGAATGAATTCAGTCTTGGGGATCTCGGATCTCCTTATGAAGAGACTTAATCTTTTGGATCCCTCCTCCAAATTAATTGGGGGCAGTTCAGATCGACCATCATTATTTTGTTCCCACACCTTGTGACCTTCTAGGGAGAGCGGAGGTTGTTCACATTATCCATCTCAACACTTTGTTCAATCTGAAATGCAGCATGGCATTCTTGCCTTTTTTTGACAAGGCACCAACCGGTTTCGTCTTTTTGGTGCTGCCAGTAAGCAAACTCCTATCCAATCTTATCGAACTGGTCGTAGTCAAATGTGTGGCCAAAGTGAAACGAAATCAGCACTGCAATGAATCTAGGAACATCTAGGAACTAAATGAATAGTGCGTGAGCTATCCTGCGTCCAGTAGCTAGTAGCTCACTTAAGCTACTAGCCTTACTTAATTGAGTAGGCGCCTACTTAATTGTATAAGTAAGGGCGAGCTTAAGGCTTAAGACAAAAAAGACACACAATAAGAAGAACACAAATAAATATAAGACAATACAACGAGACCGGAGCCAGGCCTCAAATTCAGTAAGCTTCAAGTACTTATCCTCAGCATTCATTGGCCAAAGTACAAACACTGTTGGTGAGGACCGCTGGACTGTTGCATAAAGCATTCTTGGACACAGCTTTGTGCTTTAGTATCATGCGACTGGAACAAATTGTCCATGGATGTGACCTAGTCATACCGAGTCATACCTAGGACCTAGTTGCTCAACGTATCTCAACGTGCTGTACTAGGCTAGTGCTAGCCTTCGGGATCCTTCGAGCCACATAGAGCTTACACTGGGCCTAGCGTCCTCAATGGGCTTGATCTTGTTCTCCATTTCTGCATCATCCTTGCGGCACTGCTCCAATAAGGCGATGCGATTCTTGAGTTCGTCCATGTCACTGATCTCGGAGTGGAAGGTCTTCGTGTTGCTATCAAAGTACTCCAAGAGTCGGTTCCTGGGCAATTCAGTGGCGCATCCTAGACAAACTCAGCAGGGCTATTGGATCCTGGAAGGGAAAGCACGCGCCCGCTTTCCTGGCTTTTGGTCAAATCGATTTCGACAAATGCTCCTCGTCTGACGCTGAATTTCTCATGTTGAAGTTCCCCGCTTCATCGTGTTTGATGCGGCATCTCAACATAGCGAGCGCGACTTTGTGGAACAAACTTCAACATTGCGGGTTGTATATTTAAGAGGTGTAAGTTTCGGTTCCGATGTTTGCCTGTAGCAGAACAAGGTAGATCTCCAAATCTCAGGTAGCTTATTCATTACAATGCTCCTGAAGCTTCCCTGAGCAGGTAGATTTTGCCAGGGTCAGTTTGACAAGGATCATCTCTGTTCGCGCGTTCTCGTTCAGGAGATCTGTCAGCTTTTTCTGCCACTGTTGGCAGTGATCCACCAGTGCATTCTTCAGCGGTTGAAAGTCAGTCTCGATGAAATCAATGACCACCTGTCACTGTTCACTCCCACTGCATTGTTGTTGCGTACAAGTGTGTAATGGAAGCATGTGAATTGAGCTAAATATATCTACCACAGCCCCAGCCGTTTGTAGTTTGAGTCACCACGACTGCCGAACACAAAGCCTAAGGGGAAGGGACTTACCGTTCCGATGCCCCTCCAATGAATGAAAGGGCATTGCACGGTTCAAAGGCAGGGACTTGGACATGCTCGAAGGCTTCGATTAACTGAACTTGCATCGCATTTGGATTTGCAAAGCATAGCTGTCGCTATAATTTGTCCAACAAATCTAGGTACATAATCTCTTGAATACAGAGTGACTTCCTGAGTTGTGTGCCTTGGTTCTCTTGAGCTGGCCTCCTATTTGATTGTTCCTGTGTGGGATTCAACAAAAGTGGGGGGAACCAAAGCTTGAGATTCTTAGGAACAAGGACGCTACTAGGGGCTCCTGGCCTTACTACTAGTAACAAGAAGCTACTAGGAGCAAGAAACTTCAAGGTTGGAGGCAAGAAGCTTCAATGTGTTACAATGTGTCTGCCTGTTTCCCCCAGCCACGGCCATTGAGTGGGTGCCTTGGGCTCCTCCTGCTGGATGTCACTCTGTACGTCCTTGTAGCGCTGGATGTCTTGCCCAACGATCGTCAGGGATCGCTCAGTCTTCCTCGAACATCACACAGGAAGACTGAACTTCTCAATCACTATTCACTCTGAGGATGACAACGAACACATGCCACCGAAACTGATCAAAGCGGACGCAGAACATTTCAGTGGTTCAGAAATCTTAAGGAAGCTCCATGCGGCCAGCCAAAGAGTGAGAGATTGAAGAAGTAATTGCAAAAACTGAGAACAATCCTGCATTTTTTTTGCCTATGTATATCTAGCTGCTAGCTACGTCCATTTAAACAGGTTTGGTTTTCCTCTTTCATTGTCGGACTTTAAAAAACGGATGTCATTGGACTGAACAAGACAACTTCACTTGACATCCAAGTACAAGTATACAAAAGTACAAAGTCAAGTGGCTTGTAACGCCTGATGAACGTATCCTTGTCTGAAGACACGATCGGCTGGTAGGAGCTGTTCCTCAAGAGTAGAAATGGCTCCCAGAGGCCGTGACCACGACTGGGCTGTGCTCAACCAAAGGTCTTGGGAGATTGCGGAACCCTAGGAAGTCTTGCTTGCAGCAGAACCATTGTCAGCCAAACAGCTTGGGCAAGCAACAAATATGATTAGAACATCTTAGAATCTACTATATAGAACTCTATGATATATGGCCGCCAAATTTGCCAAAGGTCCAAAACTTCAGCCGCTCTCCCAAACGCATGGCGCAGTGGTTGAAGCCTCGCAGCACCTCCTTGACGTACTTAATGCAACAGTCCTCGTGAGTTTGGCCGACACGCGATCAACAGTTGATCAACACTGATGAACTTCAAATTGTGAGCCTAGCAGGGTGTTGCTGTCTGACATTTGAAGTCAAGTTGAGTACAAAGTGCATAAACTCAACAGCTAATGTTGTCCTCATCCTTGGAGATTTCCTGCAAGCAGAGTCGCATGCAGCAAGCAAATTATTCGATATAATTTTCTGTTTGGAATGGGAAACAAGACTAAGACCTACTGTAAGAAAGTAAGTACCTAGTGCAATCTTAGTTCAGCTTTTTGCACCTCAAAGAAGCCCTTCTTCTTCTTAGGCGGGTCACCTGCACTCACAAGAATGAAGCGACCGGCAGCAATAACAGCAGGATGAACAGTTGAGGGGCAGAAGCTCGACTGATACAGGCCACAGCATGTCCGGTCTGAAGTGCACCTGGTGGCGGGATAGCGTTGGCACCAGCCAAATCTCCAGCTTCCTCAAGCTGCTGCTTCTTGATCCTTGCATACAAATGCAAAACTTCCAAAAGTCACCAGCATACAGTGGCGCAAACGTGATTTGAACCTGTATATACATGTATAATTGCTCAACTAAACACAGAACTCTGCTGTGTGCTTTGCCTCTCTTGTTGATTGCAAGAGTCTGGTCTAAAGCCCTAGATTGGTCATTGAAAGACCTTGCAGGATCCCTGTTGATGTCTCAAATCATGGAGACTTCCCAGCTTTAGCGTCCAGGCCTTTCAATCTTCACTTGTGTTTAAGAAGATACACCGAACCCAACCACCGCCCCCAAAAAATATTGAGATTTTTTTCTGGAGTGTGTGTGTGTGTGTATTCTTTTTCTGGAGTGTCTTTTTCTCTATCTGCCGTCGGCGGGTCATTGACCTGTCAGAGCTTCTGGGTCCCTGTATGTGTGGAATGTATGAATGTCCGTCTGTCTGTCTGCATGCAGCATAAAATAAACTGCAAAGTCAAGCCACCGATCCCTCTCGGTCTTGACAGCATAGAGGTGCTCTGCCAATCTGCACACCGCTTCGGTGAGTCAATTTCAGGTGACTTTCCTAAGGCAAAGCCTTCTCAAATGAAGCACCACTTTCGCACATGAGAGACGAATTCCTCTATGCCTTTAAACATGTATTTTTTTAACGGGGCCTCACTGATCATGTCACAGGTCACAAGGTTTGGAAGTCTACCAGGCATTTCTTGTTGGATTCAAGCAGCAACATCTTGAACAGGTTTTCCTGTTGACTCATTCGTGCACACCAACCGCCCTACAGACTATACATCTCTCTCCCAACAAAAACTGTCCATACCTACCCCGTTGGTGCAAGTCTGGCGTGGCCTCGGAACCACTGACAGTGTCATTGTCATGTCACCTGGCCAGCGGGAGAACTCACAAAATGTCCCACAGCATCACGCACATACATCGGAGATGACACATATATCAAAAACTCAAAACACACACACACACAAATTCATCTTCACGCACTTGTCTGTTTGAAGACGTGGCCAGGTTCACGGCACACCATCTGCAATAAGTCTTTGAGCTGTGCCATTGGTGGTTTGAAGTCCATCTTTGACTCCTCGAGTCGAGTGGGGTGGGCTGCACACTCTGGGACAAGATGGTTGCTGCACCAAACAAAATGCAAGATAATGCAAGTCTCATCATGAATCAATCCAAGTCTCGTCCAGAACAGCCTGAATCTTGAAGAGTGGAGATGGTTCTGTTTTGGTGTCACCTAAGAACAAGCTGGTGGTTGCCTGTCAAGCAACGCCCACATTTATGCGCTACATAGGCTCATACCATATCCAAGCATGCTGGACTTCTTGGGTAACCACCATTCAAAGCTTTGCAAAGATCTTGCAAGCTGGTCTTCACAGCCTGCAAAGTAGGGCGATGAGCTCTCACTCATACTTCTTGTGTGAAACGTGCAGCTCAAGGCGCCTTCTTCAAAGACTCCTTGATGCTCTTGTCAACCTGTTGGAAACAAAAGGTCACTGCACAACAACTCACCCAGGTCCTGGGGATTTGACACGAGCCCAATCTTGATACATCCACAATAGTACTGGAGGATATATAACGGAAACAAGGCTGCTGTTGTTGTAACGCATGGCATAGATTAGACCCGTAAGACGTAAGATAATATGATCGGGAGCAGCGGATTATTGACAGCAATCCTCTAAAAAACTGATTCTTGCACCTTGTCTATGTAGGTCTTCCATTCTCGCTGAATGTCCGGAGGATGCGACTCGAAAAATGTGTAGGAACTCAGCATCAGCTCAGTGATCTTGTGCAAGGACTGACAGGGCAAGGCAAGTTGCAACACTTGACCAGAAAAGGCATCAAACTGATCTATTCTCTTTCGCACTGTCAGGTTGTTGGTGTTGCATTGCTATGTAAAACTTGCACGGTCCAATGTCCTACAGGAATTTGGACTGAACACAAAAAACTCACCTGTCACCTGCCTTGTTGAACTCAGCCTTCACCTCTTCTCGCCGTCTCTCCTGGTGCGAAAGCCAATGGATGCTCTTTTTCTCGTGACACATCAACTTGCTGCATGCAAATGACATCTTGCTAGAGTCTCCACGAGAGTGTAAACCAATCATCTGCCAATCACCAAAGATTTCTCAATTACTAGAGGACTCACTAAATCTTGCAATCAAATTCATTGCAACAAAAACACCAAAAAGCCTTGCTCTGCAGGCCGCTCCTGCACGTCGCGGAACTCATCATCCCGATGCACTGTCTTCTTTTCAATCTTGATCATGTGTAGCTCTGACAGCTTCTTGCAGACCTGGGGCTAAGTAGGACATGCTTGCAATTCACACGTGAACGCTGCAAGTGTTGGCCGAGTAAGAACTCGCTGAGTCTTCGGCGCCGAAACTTGTTGCGAACAAAAGCAATATTATGCGTAGAAACAAGGAGCTTCTAGTAACAGGTGCATCGCTAGTAGTAACAGGTGCCTTACTAGGTAACAAGAAGCTAGTAGAAACAAGAATTAGGAATTATTGCCACTGCGCCACTGTTTCTGTGCTGAGCACTCTTTCGTTCCGAAGTCTTGGACTGAACTCCCTCCAACAAGAACCTCCATAAGCTTTACATAACACCGGAACCAGCTGGTATGGTTTGTGCTAGCTACTAGCCTTTTCCGAGTACACTTGTTCTGCTCATCTTCGTTGCAAAAAGGCATCTGCCTGAAGAATCTCTGTGTTGTTCCTCTTGAACTGCTTCACCCAGTCATAGACTTTGGCACACTCCTTTCAAGCATGTCAGGCTTGTGCAAGCCGTACGCCAGTGACTTTCAATTTTCCACTTCTTAACTTCACTGGGACCAACGTCTTAAAGGGAATCTCAACGTGTTTACTGTTTATAAGCAGAGTGTCTATAATTGTCTACAAACAGCGCATGACGCGAGATCTGATGATGTTGCTGGTAAGCATTCTGACTGTCCTTGCAGCTGTCCCGAACAAAGAACTCTTTGATGCCATCCGAAGTCCAATTGAACCTTGCTTTACACCAAGGAGACTAAATGCACCCATTTTCAAGCTGTTGGTGTGAATTCTATTTAAAGAGTAACTCAATGTTCCATCATTTTCATTTCTAATCCAACTTCTAACAGCTACAAGTTCCTCTGTCAAGTGGCTTTGTCAGGCCAGGTCCAATCTTTCGGTCCAGCGTTCGAATATGATGGTTGAAGAGGCGCCTTAGCTGGCGGTTTCTGTGGCAGATCGCGGAGATGCCAGGAGCCCCTAGTAGCTTCTTGTTACTAGTAGCTTCTTGCTCCTAGTAGTAAGGCCAGGAGCCCCTAGTAGCGTCCTTGCTCCTAGTAGCGATGCCAGGAGCCCCTAGTAGCTTCTTGCAAGTACGACTTATGAGGTACTTTAGTATAGTTTAGGTTGTCTTGCCACACCGGATTGAATCAAAGGAGCCTTTCCTCGGGCAACAGTGCTGACCTTGGAGATGCAGTCAATCGTTGATGGTAGAACTTGCTTCCAAACCATGTGAACTCAACTATATAACTCAACGAGTATTTTCTATCGTTGAAGCTGGCAGCATAATCTGATTGTAGTCCCTGACCTTGGTGGTGCAAGGGTGAATGCAACTTCTACTGCAATTTTCTGCTGAGGCTTGACCGATCCTTTGCACGTGCATAAGGGTGAGCGGATGAGCCAAAAGGAGTCAACACAAACTCTTCATATCCTTGTGGTTTCTTGCGCTTCTGGCATAGGTATCAACAGTGAACCGTCGAAGGCATACCAAGAGGAATCTCGCCAGGCCACAACACGTAGGACATGCTCACGGAGAACACGGAGCTTGTCCCGATGTCCTGCCAGTTCATGAGCAGCGTATGGCACGACCTTGCAAAATCAAGCACACATCATATCGGCCTCATCTACTTCTGAAACAACTCTCAAGCAATCCATCTCATGATGACTGACAGTCACGCTATATCTCGCAAAGGTGAAAATCACACCAATTTCCCGACATCAGCTCGTTGTTGTCAGTTGCTACCAAATGAGCACCATGCAATACCACTGCCCTGGATCTTCTCCCAGTAGTACACCTGGCAAAGACTTTCACAATTCGCACATTTGCGCAATCGGCAAACTGTCACTGTATCATGCATCATGGTTTGTCATGGCTTATATATCTGACCTCTTGGAACATCTTCAAGAGCTCCTTGTCGAAGTTGCACTCCAAAAGGCCTCCCTTGAACTTGCTGCTGACTGTCTCCTTCAATCTCGAGATGACAACAACATACGTGGTTTGGTGGGATCACACCACCATCACCATGGACCCTTGATTGATTGTTTTGGCGTACATGAATCACAAAGTGACAGGGAACATTTGAAAGGAGCAAATTTAAATTTACTACTAGTAATTTAATTTAGTTTATTGTTACTACTAGCGTGGCACTTGTTACTAGGAGCCTGATGTTAACAAGAGGCAACTGGTCCTCTGGCTTAACGAGCAAGTTCACCTGTGGACTGAATGCAACCAATGTCATAAGGATCAATCTCTGCATTTCATTGATTTTCATTGTATATACAATCCAGTGGTGCCACAAGTGTTCACAAATCAGCGACACTTGAGGCCTGCAACCGCTTGGGCAGGTTCTGGTCGTCCATACCTGAGTGGAGATGGTACCCCCACACTTCTGAAGCTAAGCACTCTCCAAACAACGAATGGTTCCTATCACACGGCTTCCATAATGTTTCTACCTTTGCTTCTCGATTCGCAAAGACATACAAAAGTGATCGGCAGTACCAAGTGGCCCTTGAGCTCCTGCACCCAGTCTTGGAAGTTCGTGAGAACGAAAGTCTGTCCAGGCATGATGCAAACAAAAAGCCAAGTCTTAGGGCCGAAGGCTGTCTCCAACCTAAGAGCGATGGCCTCCAACCTAACAGCGATGGGCTCCATCCTACTAGCGATGACCTCCAACCTAATAGCTCTAATGACAGACAAGAATATGCTTGGTACATCTTTATACCAGCATTCCACAGCACAACATTCTCTAACAAACAGAGAGGCAGAATTCACAATTTCTAAGAGCAATTGGGACAAATCCGCCTCCATGTTTCCATGCAAGGTATTGAAGGTGTCTCGACAGTTCTCCTGCTCTCTGCCTGAAGATCTTCACTGTTCAGGCTCAGTCATACCATGGGATTGAACAAGACTTGAAAAACCAGAGCTCACTACAGTACCATAGCATCTATCTGCTTGCAAGACATCACCTATCTTTTTTAGGTGGGATGAGAAATAGCTGAATCCGTTGTAATCCACTGAATGCGATCCGGAAAATGACTCTCATTGACACTTTGCTGCTAAGCCCCGAACACCATTCAAGGTAGCAGAGTTGATCGAGCTCCGCCTTGGCACTATCTTTTCATGTACTTTACCGTATGATTTTCCTGCTTTCGACACTTGTATGACTTGTAAACACACACACAAATGTTGTTTGCCTGAAAGTTTCTTGACTGTCAAAGCTCTAGCTGTCTCATGCCACCAAAAGGCCATCTGCTGCTGAATGCGCAGCATCAAACCACGTACCGCCAGTGCCTTCGCTGCTCACAGGCACTGCATTGGACGAAATGGAAGAAAGCCAAGAATCCAGATTGCTCTCATCACCGCCCATAGAGCTTCAAATGACACAACATAAAACACAAACACTTCTGCACAGAAGCAGAACCTTGAGATAAACAAAAGCGATTCCAAAGTTCGGCCATATGGCAGGCCCTGCATACTGTGGATGTCCCTGGATGATCGGTAGCGAAGGCAGCTTCCTGCAGGAAGAGTATTAGAATCTCCAGTTTGCAAAGCAAGTGATGCCTTTACATGGCTTTGACTTTGAGGCTCTATCCTGAACTGGTCAAATTCTTTCTTAATGTTGTGGTTGAGTTCGCTGAGGAAAATGTTATACAAGGTCTCACCCTTCTTCTCCACGAAGGCTTTGACGCCTCGGGGTGTCGCTACTCCCCCCGAGCAAAGCCGAGGCAACGTCGTGGCAAAGCCAAGCAAAACTAAGCAGTACGCGTTCTCTCTGTGCCAATTGGTAGAAGCTGTCGAGCACTTGGCATGCTGTCCTCACAGTTTCAGCACTATGACTATCACTATCAACACTTTGAACTATCACAACTTCGGCGCTTGGCATGTTATTCAATTGAACGCCTCATGCACCCTGGATTTGGCCCCGGTCCCACAATAACTACTGTATATGTATAATAGACCAAGAATCTGGACAGTTCCAACCCCTTCGAAGGCGCTGTTGATGACCTGAAAGTGTCTTTATAAAAGCACACTCATGCAGCTCCAGGTTCACTCTCCACTTCTTCCACAGTTGCATCTCAACCCTACAATGCCAAAATACGAGTGCTAGATCATCACTGATTCGCTATGCTGAACGCAGCCGAGTCTCATTCATGTACATCACCTGCCAAATGCATATGATGCATGAACGGCAAAACTCTTCCCACATAATCTTAGTGCTGTGATTTTTTTTTCGGTAGGTTGCGATACTGCCTTACGCAGTTTCTTTTCAAATAGGCACTCATGCATTGATGGCGTGGGTCTGACTCACAAGTAACATCACTCAACTGCAAACAATGTGGAAAATCATGAATTACCTTACTTCGAGTGATCCCACCATGACATGCGCATGTTGCCATGGTCGTGAGTTTTGTGTTTTTCGAGTTTGCTCGCGGGGGTTTGGGTTGCTATTCTAGTGTTAAAGAGTTCGCGTCGGGGTGTTGCCAGGGTCTCCAACTGGCATCCAAAAGTCCTAACCTGTGACCACCTGCCATGCAAAACGCCACACACACAGGTAATTATATTGCTGTAGTTGTGTGTTGGTTGTTGTGTTTGAGTGTTTTGGTTGTGTGTTGTGGTTTTGTGTTGTGGCTGTGTGTTGCGGTTGTGTGCTGTGGCCGTGTGCTGTGGCTGTGTGTTGCGGTTGTGTGCTGTGGCTGTGTGGTGTGGTTGTGTGTGTGTGTCACCCCCTGTATCTAAGGGTTCCACCTTTGTAACTAAGAGTTTTGAATGCAGGGGGCCATCCCCCTCCCCAGTGGCGGATGGCCAACGAAGAGGCCACTGGGGGGGGCTGCAAACGTACCTGCCGAACTGTTGTACAAGCTGTCACTCCACTCTTTCTTTGTTTGTTTCCATGGTGGTTCATGCTACTTCCCCTAAACCCTTTCCCTCGGTTTCAGCTGCCGTCCGCCGCTCGTCCGCTGCTGTCGCGAGTCTGCAGATGCGCGCAAACTATTTGTTGAAACACCTTCAATTGATCGGACTCCTCACCTTGCCGTTGAGCCATTCCTTTCCTCGGGGAATTGAGTTAACTGAATACAATTGTCAAAGTGTGTTTCGCTCAGCCGTCCCACTCGGGTGCTGAGTGTGACCCCCGTCATTGGGGCGCTGTCTCATCGTGCAAGCAGTAACTGACCTCACCACCTTTCACAGGAACTCCACTGGAAGTCACCTCCACATCCACCGAATTAACTGCCACCACGGCCGCCGGGCCTAAACACGGGAACAGACAGTTGTGCAACACTTGCTTTTTTGAGATGTTTGACGGCTAAGTATTCACATGTGCGTGTGCTGCTAAGTATTCACAGGCCGGACGAATTAATCGTGCACTTTTCTTTTTTCCCCTCCCTACCCCTGGGCCTCCGTTGCTACCCCACCCGCTACTCGGGAAACAGAAGGAAATCGCACTCAACACACTTGTGTGTTGGTGCCTTTCCTTCTGTTTCTCCTAGCCTATTGCTAGCTACCCGGGCGGTTTAAGACAAAGGTCCCGCTCGCGCTCTACTTTCATTTAACTAAGTGGGCCTCGTAACTACCCCTATCTTTCTTTCTTGCCCTCTTAGTCTGCTTTTGTTTTGTTTGCTTTGTCTGTCTTTCTAAGGCTTTTTAGGTGGCTATTAGTTTTTCGCAGCGCCAATATTGGCGCTTTCTGTGCAAAGTTCCACCTTCAACGTTCTAAACACTTGCGCCGGAATCGGCGGTTTGTGTGTGTCACCCCCTGTAACTAAGAGTTTTGAATGCAGGGGGCCATCCCCCTCCCCAGTGGCGGATGGCCAACGAAGAGGCCACTGGGGGGGGGCTGCAAACGTACCTGCCGAACTGTTGTACAAGCTGTCACTCCACTCTTTCTTTGTTTGTTTCCATGGTGGTTCATGCTACTTCCCCTAAACCCTTTTCCCTCGGTTTCAGCTGCCGTCCGCCGCTCGTCCGCTGCTGTCGCGAGTCTGCAGATGCGCACAAACTATTTGTTAAAACACCTTCAATTGATCGGACTCCTCACCTTGCCGTTGAGCCATTCCTTTCCTCGGGGAATTGAGTTAACTGAATACAATTGTCAAAGTGTGTGTCACACTCCGTCCCGAGGAGTTCTTTTCTGATAGTTACACCTGTTCGATGCAGGGGATCCTACCAGGAGAGCGTCAGGCTCGACACACCTACCTGACGCAACGAAGCTATGGTGTGTCGAGGGAAGTGAGAGCTGATCACTCTCATGTACCTGCGACCAACACATTGACTCCACTGGTTCCCCTCGGCCGCTGTTTTTTGTTTTCATGGTCCTTGCACGTTAGCCCCCAAAACCATGTTCTTCACCGTCGTGCAGCTGCGCCACTGCCGCTTTCAGCGATTTCTGAGCGATTGCAACACCTTTGTTAAACCTCTTCAACTTTTTCGGACTCACTCGCCTTTCTGTTCCCTCGTCCATTTCCGCGTGGAATTGAGTTGACTGAAAACCCATTGTCTAAGTGTGTTGTGGTTGTGTGTGTGTCAAACCCTGTTCCTAAGGGTTCTTTTCCCTCTGGTTATGTTTGAAGCAGGGGGTGCAAGCAGCCCATCCAGCCTTGCACCAACAAAGACACTGGATGTGTGCTGGTGATATCGATTTGGGACGCCAAATCGACGTACCTGCGACTTCTGCTGCCGCGCGTTCGTGAACTGCAGATGTGCACAAAACCATTGTTGAAACATCTTCAAATTCTTGGACCTTTCGCCTTGCCGTTCCTTCACCACTTTTCCTGGGACTTGAGCTAACTGAAAACCAATGTCAGAGTGTTGTGGTTGTGTGTTTGTGGTTGTGTGACTGTGATTGTGTGTTCGTTTGTGACAGTGTTTGCTGTGTGTTTGTGACTGTGCTTGTGGTTGTCTGTTTGTGCATTGTGGTTGTGTCATTGTGTTTTTTGTTGGTTGTGTGTTGTGCCATGTGTTTGTGGCTATGAAGTGTGGTTGTGTGTTGTGCGAGGTCCAGTAGAGCCCACTGAGATTTGGCACTCGCGGTTGATTTCTGGTAGTGCGCACTGCGATCTGGCACTTGCGGTTGAGGTCCGGTAGTGCCCACTGCGATCTGGCGCTTGCGGTTGAG